TATATAATATATATGAATAATATAATGAATAATATATAATATATATATAAAAATAATGAATAATATAATGAATAATATATAATATATATATATATAATAATCAATTCAGAAAATGAATAATCAATTCCATACCGGTAACATTACTGTAATTCCATTTTCATCAACAAATCGACATGCACGTGATTTCGAATTTGCCATTTCAGTTGCATTTTTGGTATTGAATGGAGTAATAGAATGTACATCAAATGGAACAAAAGCATGTGTTGAACAGATAAGGCATAATTTGTTGCGTAAGCATTCGATGGCACGCAGTCGTGGTAAACTCAATCGATCCTAAATAAATGAAAGTCACTTTGCAGACAAAATGAGCTTAACGAGCTTAATGAATTATTCCATTAAATTGAAGTGGATAAACGAATAAAAAATGAATTCCAACTTAATGAAATAATTTATTTTTTACTTTTAATGAAATGACTAATATGTTTTAAAACAAACAAATTTAAACTTAATTCTAGTAACTTTTTCCAATAGTTAAATAAAGTGATTTAAGCAATTCCAGTTCCCCCTTTTCACCATTAACTTCCTACCATGGTACTTTGCCCGTTTATGTGAAGATGGAAAACTTTTTTATGTGTCACAAGTATAACTAAAAGCGAAATAACAAATTCGACATTGCATTTTTGATCGAATAGCAGATGAAACTACTAAATTATTCTCATTTAATGCTTTCATGAAATAATGAAGATGAATACTGCCCTACAATTGAACACATGACTCGATCATAAAGATAATCTGCTGCTGGTAATACCGGATTAGCTATCAACGTATCAATTATCCAATGATGCAAACGTCCACCACTCCGAATAGTTTGACAGAACATTTTCTGGAAATCCACAATAAGACAATCATTGTAGTAGATATCAACTAATGGATTTTGCAATAACTAATAAACAGATTAAGTAAAATGGAAAATTTTTCAATCTTAACGAATGAAAAAATTTGTTCACGAACTTTAAATGCTTGTTTTTGTTCTACATGAGGTTTCACGTCCAAAAGAAAAAAAACTTGTTTTACTTGAAAATCATTTTCTTCAATTTCTGCTACTGGAATACGATCACTACCGAGAAGGATCTGTACCGATGGTCGATCGTCTGGCTTAATTTCCAGCATCCATTTGATCAGTTTCTTGGCAGTTTTTTGGTGTATCTAAAAAATATAATTAATGTATTTTATATGAAAAGTACTACATCATATTCACTAACAAAAAAGATTTTATACCTCTAATATCCCAGTCCCGAAATCAGAAGGGAAATGACCGGAACCACGCAGATTTTTAATTACTGTTATTCGTTCCATGCCCGGTAGAAGAGGTCGATAGAACATTTCAAATAAAACTATGCCAAGACTGAAATGAAAGAGATATCGACGATCGAGAATTTTTCAATTTCATTTCATCTTAAATGGAATTTCATCAGTGTCTCAATTTATCCGTTTCAGCCACTCATTCTAAACTCTGAATGTTTGGTGAAAATAAAAAATTAACTCATTCATTTGTTCAATAATTTGAAGCTGTCATGAAAACCGAAATAATTTCATAATAAATCTATTGAAATAATTAAAATTGCTTTTGTAGAAATCTGCACTGCAAAGATTGTTTGTCAATGAGTTTACATTGTTTCATAAAGTTATTCTAATCTTTTGTTTGTTTACCTTTATTTGATAATGCGATAATGAGGCTCATTTGCTGTACAATTGTAAAATGTTAAGCTGATCCTTTATTTACTGAACTCTTTTTTTGTTTTTAGAGGATTATAATCATGCTTCGTGTGTTAAATGATTGGAAATAATAAGCAGATCACTTATCTCCCTTCAAGTCTAAGAGGACTTTATAGTCCATCTCGATGAGGACGAAAAGGAATGTCGCAGTGTCCAGCAGCAACAGAACTTTCACTACAGTAACCTGTATATTAATGGACTCAGTAATAACTGTGATAACCAATCAGCTAATTACTAAAATACGTCAATCATACTTAAAACGGAATTTAGTAAATACTATTAATTATTATTTTTCAGATATTTAATTACTATTAATTAAATATCTGAAATATCCTAATTTAACAGATAACATAATAAATAAAGGAATGATCAATAACCTATACACGTCGATTTTGGTTGTATAATCGATGTTCCCACTAGTCGTTGAGAGTAATTCTGGCGCAATATAAAGAGCTGTACCAATATCTTTGGTCATAGAAAAATTCATATCGGATTCATTCAAAGAAGATAGATTTTTCGACATAATATCCCGAGTTGCAAGACCAAAATCACCAATCTTAGCGTGGTCGCTTCCATCAATTAGGACGTTCATCTGAAGCATTCAGTTACAAAGGCAATGGGATAACAACTTCAAAATAACTTTTTCGAAAATTAAGTAACGCATTGCTTTGCTCCAGTACTGCAACAAACAATCTTGATCGATTCCTCTGCAGCACAATTAGCATAACTGCTAACAATGAAAAATTAAATAAATTTCGAAGAATAAAGAAGCGCCGAAAAGATAGTTCATAAAGAAAATGTTTAGAAATGGCACATTAAATGAAGTATATCTAAATAATCGAGAAAGATATCACAATCGTTTTATGGAATCTGCAATTTGCAAGTGTGAGGTAGTCTTAAATGGTCCTCCTAGCAACACAGTAGAAACAATCAAGAATTTCTCATTATTTTCAAATAAACCATAACAAAACTTACTATTCTATAGACTTTCATCTCGAAAATCTAAAATTACAGAATTACAGAAATTAAATCGAAATCTCAACATATATAATTGTAATAGAACACGTGAATCTGAAATTTTTATAAAGTTCAAAATAAAGAAAAGTCCCAACCGGTTTAATATCACGATGAATCATGCCCTCCTGGTGGATGTATTGCAATCCGAGCAATATTTCACGAAAGAGACGCCATATTTGCCGTGAATTTTTCAGCAATTTCGAACTGTCAATTAAATTACGCAACGTAGAGTTCTCACAATATTCCATTTGAATAAATAAAATTCTTAAAGGTAGTGTGGATGAACTTTCAGTAGCCGTTTTAGGTGGTGATATCTGGTTAGATTGCGTACCAGCACCGTCCTCATCACTTGAATCCACATTATCGCCTTCGTCTTCAAAAAGCACTTCCTATAAATTGTAAAATTGTAAACATAAATCAATCAGTTTGTACTGCGAATTTACTTTTACTAGAAAGATGAGAAAAATACTGCTTTAGTAATTCCTATATATCACTTCGCGCTTCAGTAAATGTGACCCATACCAGTAAGTGAGATCGTCAAAACGAGACAAATATTTCAGGAACTGCACTAGAAAAGCAACCCCACACTTTTTAGTTAAACATGTTCGGACAATTCCAAAGCCAATCAGATATCACAACTATAAGGTATGAAAAGCTCGTTTTGATTGTACTATGTGTGAAAGTTCTCTATAAATGAAACCTACAAAATCTGAGTTTTCAACTGTATTGAGACCAGTGGGCGAGAACAGCGTTTGCACAGGCTCTCCATGTTGCTCTTCAGAAACAGAATCCGATTCATATATTGCAGTCATTTGAAAGGAAGTCGACCACTCGGCTGTTGCATCTACAGCTATACGTTTCGCCATTTTTTCGATATTTTTTATTTGCAGAGGCATCAGAGAACCTAAAAAACGATCAGTTAAATGAATCGTAAGGAATTCATCACAAATTCCATCAGTCGATTTATTATCGTATGTATGTTTTAATACAAATTAAACCAGTTTTGTAAAAAAGTCATCCCAGTTTACATCGATGTTGCTATTGCATGATGTATAGGCGATTAAAAAGCGATAATGAAGAAACTTAGCAATATTTTTTTGCAAATTATTCATGATAAAAATGAATTTCTTCCCAACATATGGAGAATGCAGGTCAAGTGGATGGAATAGAATTTATAACTAAAATTCAAGATTGAGGGTAATGCTAGAAGTCAAGCAAAAAATTGCAGGAGCGAAAAATGAATCGTGTACTAATAAAAAGTTTGGATAATGCTCAAATTTTGCAACTCATCAAAGTTCGGATGCAAAAGAAGGGCTAGCTTGATGCGAAGTAAGATGGAACAATGATTTAGCCAATGTTTCAGCTGCTTCGAAGTCAGATTCCAAGTTGTACAAATTCAACTCAGACTACAATGGAGAACCTCATCATAATATTATATATCCAGTACATACCTTCGATTTCCTCTTTTTGATTGTTATCAACATTCACTTCACTACCATTACTTCCTGATCCAGTTTCTCTTACAGCAGTAGAAGCTTGCTCAATCCAAGCACTGTAGTAACGAACAACGTTTGGATGATTTAATTTCGAAAACAACTTCGCTTCGCGCGTAACTTTGCGATTAAATCGTTCATCCTTGGGATCCAAGATTATCCGTTTGATCGCATAATCATTACCATCCAGTTTATTTCTGCAAAAGTAAAAAAACAATATTTGCTTGAAATGTTTAATATCATTTACAAGCCAAACACTAAGACGTAATCTAGTATCCTGCAATGCAGATATACAGCGAAATGCTGTGTATGCACAGTATTTCAAATTTTATTATTCTTCATAAAATGATAACACCATTGATGGTTGGCTCTGTAGTCATCCAAATCATCAGAATATTGGTTAGACATTCAAGGCAGTCTTGCTTAAGCTGACAAACACAACGGCAACGAAATTTGATCTTCATCGCCATCCAAAGTGCACTCAACCTTACTTTGCCAACATGACATCACCAAAACCGCCTTTCCCCAACATTTCGATAAAAACAAATTCGTTTCGAAGTCTACTATGTGCAATTTGCTGGAAGCCATCTTTTCCATCGCCAACCAACGAGTGGAACAAATCATCTAAAAAATCTGAACTGCCTATTCTCAATAGCGGATAATTGAAAGTATAGTATTTTTATATATTTCGTGATACTGAAAACTGTGGTACTGAAAACCTTGATGTAAAAAGGTATGTTCCAATAAGGTTTTTGAGATTCTCGTGCCTCTTCTCATGTCTCTGCAAGCTTCTACGAAGCTTTCGAGATTTAAAGAAAATTTTGCACTGCTCGCAACTGCTGAAAGCTCTCTGAATTTGTTGAAAATGTTGCCCAATGAAACGAAATCATTATTTGGCAATTTATCCATTGAAGGACCAGAAGAGATATTTTCATCGACTATTTCGACACATTTTTTGATAATCCCACACTGACGCAAAAGCAATGACCTTAAAATTATAACAAATAAGCAAATACTTCAAAAATATGCATAAAGTTTTCCAATAATCTCATAACATCCCATTAATCACAGTCTAAATTTTTGTAGTTCAAGGCATTTAGATTTTATCGACCAGCAGATGATTATGTATCCTTAGCTTGCTTCAGATTTTCTGAAATTCGTTCTTTGACAGTATTCCGCTGGAAAAATAACCCAAAAAATATACCTCAAGTAATAATCAGACAAACGGAAGTTCCTTTTGCCAGTGATCCATATAGACGTCGGGTCAAGAGCAAAATGTCCTAAGTTCTTTTCGTGTAAAAATCGCAAACCATCTAAAAGTTGGACAGCAAGGCGAACTAAAAGTGTCTGCAAATTAAAAGAACTAGCTTATAATAATTTTGAATGGTGCAGAAATGAACAGTTAATTTTTTTAATTTTTAAAGCTGAACTCAAGAAAATTCACGTCATGAACTAATTGTGGACACCTTTCAATCTAAATTCAAAATTTTAGAAGATTCAAATAAGAAAAAAGTGGGTATTGAATTTCACGTACCATGGCAAAATTTTCGTAAATTACTCAACTCACTTACTTTATCGGTTTCGAAAATATTAAATTGGGATGATAAATTTCGGTCATTTCCATCGATGTTTTGGCCAATTACAATACTGCAACCAATTTCAAGCTAACTGACAGTCACAGAACTTTTTTCGATACAAACCTTACTCTCCCATTGGTTACCATCCTAAGAAAAGACTCAATGTGCTTAAACATCTTAAGAAGAAAAACCATTCAATGCAACCCATATTTCTAGAAGTAGAAAATGAATAAAGCAAAACTTGCCAAACATTAACTTCCGAAACTGTCAATTTATTTTTCTGCACACAAAGCATTTCATAACAGCACAGTGCTGGTTCAGTAACAGAAATTCTTGAAATTTCTTGTAATTTCCTTTCTAATTCTTTGAAATGAATGATAAAAGGTTTAAGCGATGATAGAGGCGTTTTGGCTTTCGCCGCAAATGTCCATTCCGTAATAAAAAGTTCATGACCCTAGAAACAAAAAAGAAATAACAGCACCAAAACATACGATGAAGAAAAGCATAGATAACAACAACTCTATCAATTGATTCGTCTGATGATATCAAATGTACCCGTACGTCCATATTATACAAACAGAAAGCACGAATATTTTATAGCCAACAAAGCTTTTTTGTCTTTACAGGAATACCGCACTAGTTCTTCAATTACAGTCTTTATTTTTTAGCTTCGGCGTAAAATTAAATTGACTTGTGTTTCCGTGCACCCTATGCATAAGCACTACTTTTAAAAGTCTTGACTGAGACTAAGCCTTAATCTCGTACTCCGTCATATTCCATCATCAAGAAACTCATCCGCTCCTCTTATCTTTAGTCCCTATTATTCAAAATATTTGTCAAATTACCGTAGTACAATCTATAGCTGACCATTCTTGACAAAATGGACTGATATCTGGCCGTCTCCTGAAATTATTCGTGCTTTTGGTCAACCTTCTTTGTACACCATCGATACAGGAAAAGGTTTCGTATAAGCTATCATCAACTGGTGTCGCTGGTTCACCTTCTTCTGCCTTTCGCCACATCAGTTTTTCTTCATGCATTTTTTGAAATGCCACAACATCCTCGCGATCACGCTGTTCCGACCTTACTCGCTGCCGCTGAAATATTTTAAAAAATACGAAAAGTTCAGAAGTCTTTTAAACTTAGCGAAAAAAGATATCTTAAATCACCACATTATGATAACCTGCAAGAAAACTATGCATAGAAAATAGGAAACGTCAATACCCTCCGTTCATGTTCCACTGCTTCATGCTGCTGCAACATGCCATCGAAAAAAGATCCTTCCGGAGGTTTATTTCGTTCATATAAAAATTCTTGAGCTATTTGACATAGTTCCAGGATAACTTCCTGAAATTTTTCAGAACTTTCCAATTATTCATCTGAATTTAAATGTTACGGAAAAAAGCGACGGATTGAATGAAGTTAGTAATGAATACTTACGCTTCCTTTCAATGACACTGCTTTATTATCTAATATCTGCTTAAGTTTGTCGACATCCTTCAACGAAATACCTTTTACTTTTTCTAGCGAAAGGAATGGTGTCCTACAAATAACGTTGAAATAGGCAAAAAATTGTTTAAGATATTGACAACTCTCCCTATTTTCTTTTTTAGAGCTTTAAGGAAAACAATAGAATTTAAAGGCTAAAATCTGGATTAAAATGATGAAGGCTAGAGGTATTGATGTTGGTTTAAACAACACTGTAGTGCCTATAAACTAAAGGAGGAATAGAGTACAGTATAAAAGAATAAGCTGTTGCAACATACCCAGATAATGGATACGTTTTTGGACATTTTACATGAAGATCTAACGAGACGTAGATTTTGTCGCTGGTAGTACTAGCTGATCCAATAGGTTTTAGGTGCACGATGACATCAAGTGGTTGCCATATCTACAAAACAACCAATAAACTTTTGTATTAGACTCTTCAAAAAAGGTCTTCATATAAACAATATGATGCCTGCTACCTAAGCCAACCGCAGCCATGTAATAATTGCTTTATCCAGTGCACAAAAATAAAGAAACGTTATTGCATCTTTTTTTGATTTATTATTTCAATCTTTGGCGAGGTAGGCAAATATTTTTTCCCCCAATAACAAGCAGAAGTTGAGTTATCTGTGATGGGTACATGATTATGCTGCAGTTATATAATGCTGAGTGAAAAGAAAAACCTAACAAACATTTACAAACCAAGAAATAATCAATTAGTATTTCAACCAATAATCTGGTTGAACGAACCTTCCAATCAAACAAGGCAATGAATATTCTCAGAGAGATTTTTTATATCCAATTTTACCATATAAAATGGTCGATCAGTCGGTACCTTCAATATAATCAATCGATTCAACGAACCTTCCAAACATTTTGGGCAGCATCAACGAAATCTTCGTTATAGACGGATTTCAACACCAGACGTTCATCTCTTTGCCGCTTTTTAGCGTCATCTAATGTCACGCCCACGTCACCAACTGTATCACTTCGTTGCATTATCGATTTTATGATAAAATTTCTTCAGCTTAATGACTTTATCGACTGTTTTTATTACTGACCTAAAAATCGCAATAGTTACGATTACAATATCATCAGTTGTGATGCTTGATTATTCGAAAAGATCGATAAAGTCTCAACAAATACCCGTAATCTAGAACATCTGATAAGTTGAGTAAATGCGTCTTATGACCGTAATTAAACACCATAGAAAAAATGACAAAGGGTGAATAATATGCATTATTCTTAAGACATTCATCTAACTTCGAATTAGATAAAATTTTAAGCAAAGGGAAAAAGTTTGAAAAACAAAAAAATATAGGGGGTATTTTAAAACAACGTGAAAGCTTCTGAGTTCAAAACTGAATTTGAAAATCATTATCTCCTTTTAAGTAATATAACATTTTGAACTTTATCACTCTCTAATTGAAAGTATCTCTAATAAGCAGTCTTATCTGTCGCTAATACCTGTTTTCACTTTCAGCCTTTTCTTCAGTCAAAAAGCATTCCTCTGCATAGTTCTTTAAATTTATCTTCAGTTAAGGGGCATTACTTTATTGAAATTCTGTTAAATAAAAAGGCCAGCCTGTAACGCTATTTTTTTACTATCGCTCAGTTTACATCATATAGTTCTCCCAATCTTCGCTGTAACCAAAATGTTTATTAGAGATACTTTCAAGCTCTGCTTCAATCAGTATTCTCTACGCTATCTAATAATTCTCTCCATCCCACTTTTTTCACATCCCAATCTCGGCTAGCCCGAATCCTACCGATACCCAAATTGTTAAAATCCCCAGCCGTACCAAATCAGTGACGGATTGCAGCACAGATATCACAATTTACATGATGACCTGGCATCTCGCTGTGCGATTCGTTATTTGGTTTGTTGCAGTGATTTAATTGTAGCTTCGTGTGAGGATATAATCGAAGTGGGTGTGATTTCACTGGGATTTTTTCCTGGTCTGGAAAAGGGTGGGAGTCTTTTACGGATTATTTGCGCATTTAAGGAAGTTAATTCCCGCTTAGTTCCTGAATTTAAGTTTGTTACTGAAGTTCCAAGTTTAACTCCATTTATTATCAGAACTTCAATTTTAATCCGATTTTTTAATTATGTTATTTCAGTCAATGAGTAAGCAATACATTGGTAGGTCGACTCGTAGGATACTGCGATGGGTGTAACCATAACTGACAACGACGAACAAGGAGCAAGTGAAGTGGCAGCTGCAAAACCAAAAGAACGACAATTCCAGGTCATTGAAGTTTGGATTTCGACTGAGATCATTTAACTTTTTGAAGACAACTGTACTGTGATGCCTTTGTTAAGTTAAGCGTTTTTTGTTGTTCCGGGAAACTTAGTCAAGTCTAGACATCAAACTGTTGGATACCAAGACGGTAAATTTAATGTAGGAATGTACAATGTACTCCAAGTATTTTTAGAATCTTGAGTATATACAACTGAAATCTTAAATTTCTGTGACAGAGATACTATGTAGTATACGTGGTATGATTAATAACATATATATTTCTTTTTTAAGACCAAAACATGTTCTTTTGTTTATTTATTTGCATATTGCAGGTTGTCCCCGTTCCAGGGACTTTTACTCGCGGACGTTGGAAATGTTGGGATTATAAGGATAAAACATCGGAAACTGGTGCAGTTATTGACTTTACAGATAAATCAGAGAAACATTCTTTATGTAAGTTATTGTAATAGTTCGGTTTTATAGAAAGAAGGAAGATGGAGACGATTTTTTTTTTGATAAATGCAGTTTCCTTTTAATCGTCTGAAGATTACTGAGGGAAGAAATTCATGAAGTAAACATTGTAAAATTCCGCAAGATTTGATGTAAGAAAGATGTGATAGGCTTTATTTTTAACATTTCAGTTTCCATTTCTGGTTGACAAATACTGAAATTGTTTTCCAGTTGGACCCGTAATGAGAAGTACATTAAGTTCTACTCTTAACCTCGGCTATTTTTATTTATGTCCTTGCCGATAAATATTTTAGTGGCACCCATAGCGTCAAGCTTAAATCATATAATGAATGCATGGCTGAATCATTCAGTTTTAACTCTGATATATTGCTTTTATCTACTCTAACAGCCAATCAATTATTTTATCTTTTCTTACAGATCAAGAAAATTTTCCGAACTGAAATGCATTTCATAGAGTATGCAATGGAAATTTAAATCCTAATGCATCAAACTAGGCCATTTATTACGGTTACTTGGCGCAAACATTTTTTATCTTTTTACAGCAATCAATATTGGGGAAAATTCTGTCGGATGTCGGACTATTATTTCCCACGGCCAAACAGATGCAGTAAATCATGCGACAAGTGAGCCACATTTGATTCCAGCAACTGATACGAGTAGTGCAGGTTGCGGATTTATTATTATCTATATTACGCATTACCCTCAAACAAATCCACTTGGCCTTTTTCCTTAAAAATTTTCGAATTTTCGATGTAGTTTTATTCCAAACTGAGAAACGGTTGTAAAGTTGAAAACTGAAATTAGGTTTAAGTGGATTCTAATTTCGAATGTATTACGAAGCGTGTTTTGGTAAACTTCAAAGAATTAGATGCAGTATTGCAATCTATTAAAGAAGTCAGAAAACCAATAATATCCATATTGATATTTTCAGCAATATCGCAAACGATTGACATGTCGAATGCGGGAAAAGAATCCAGTACAATCGTTGTTACATCTATTGCTCCTCCATCGTCAACGCCGGCACATGGTACTCCATCTTCAGCCAGTATTTCTCCTGTGATCAATAATGCAACTATTATTGAAACTAAGGTATTTTTTTAATACATTCACCACTTTTTGAGCTAATTCTCTCATGAAAAGAACGGTCAGAACTCTCCGATTATTTAGTAAAGTAATTCGTTCACTAACCCTTGACTGTATATCAGAACGACTACTCATGAGTTTCTGAAAAATGTTTGAAATAAACGGCTGTCTGAAATTAATCTTAGGGAATTAAGGGACATAATAACTTTTCTTCTCTCTATCTGCTAGCATTATCTGGAAATGTACTTTGATATGCACAGCATTTCGAACCTTTAAAGTCAATATCCTCATATGCAACCGTAAGTCATATTATCAGCTTTTATATCCTTACATTACATTTGTTTTATTTTTTTTCAGGAGAGAATTTCAGATCAAGAAAATTTATTATCATTGCAAACTACAGCGTCGGCACCTGCTCTTAACATTGGAGGAGTGGCACCAGTTCATACACCTAAAATTTATCGGACGCCATCCGCTACCGCTTCCTATCTGCAACCGTTATCGGTTTCTTTTAATTTAAATCATTTTTTTTTTCCTTTTTAAATTCATTGTTATGCAATTCATTGTTATCAAGATGTCGTAATTTTATGGCATTCGAATTAATTTGTTGCTGCGATTTTCCAATTGAACATAACAAGTGCTTCGTATCCATTACTTTGTTTTCGATCTCTTCAAAATTAAAGGCACTCCAGCCATGACTGTTCCAGACCCAGTTTCAGCCGATAACTTAGTCTATACTTCGACATATCATTTTTTGTTATTTTTGCGATCCTTTTCCTTCTCTAACGTTTCATGCTAAAATCGGTCGTCTTGTTGCTAAATCGGGCAATGTTATCTGTCAGAGTTTTACAAAACAAGTTAATAGCGATTTCAGGAAATTCCTGATTCTGTGGTTCAGCCGTCGTTTACTCCCGAACCAGTTGCAACAAATGTACCGGTTACTGTGACTGAGACGGATGATCCGTAAGTTTTCTCTCTTTTCATGCCTAGGATTTTCAACATATTGAATTTTGACAGTTATGTCGTGTCTAAAATTAATACCTTTTAAAATTTTCTTTGAAATTTTATAAATTGTTAAAAATATTGAATTAATTTGTATGCACAACTTTGCCCTTCCGTCAGATTTCTGTATTTAAGTTACACGGTTCTCTTCAGCAGTTTTCTAGTGGAAAGAAAATATTCGAACCTGTTTAGATTGTTAAATGATCTCGCAATTTTTTCACAGCAGTATGAATTATTGATTTTTTTATTAACTGAATATTCGATATTTTATATATTGTGTGTAGTAAGAAGCAGAGAAAATCAATATTATTAATGTAAGAACTCTTAATGAGTGTGTAGTATTACTTAAAAATCTTTTTTCCCTTATTGATAAAAGAATGAAACAAAGAGTTAGAATTTATTTTTTGATTTTGTTTGCAAGAAATACTTTTTGAGTCGAGAATTGTTTGGCTGTGATATTGAAGATTAAATGAAATGACTAGATGTTTTACTAGATGTCTTTTTACTTTTTCCACTGGAGCGAAATTTGTACTTTATTCAATTCATCGTCATCTGCACTAGTTTCCGTGCTCATTTATGTTTGTTTAAAAGAACTTTTTTTCACTTATGATTATTGTTTCAATTAGAAATCACTGCCCTGAAAATTGTTCAACGGCAATAGTAAGTGGATATGGTGGTAATTCTTTTATTGTTTTTTATTAGGGTGATAAAAGTAGTGCTATAAGGTCATATTCAGTTCAAAACTTCTCTTAATTGTGATTTAATGGGGTAATGATAATGAAATTCTTGCCAGTAGTCGTTGATTGTATCACAGCTTTCTTTGATAGTGGCAGCAATTCCGATACTGATTATAATTATTATAACAATGCTGGACTATGATAGAACCCTTCCACTCATTTTTCCAAGTTGTTATTGAGAAAAATAGGTTGAATTATGTGTAAAAAGTCATTTAGTAGAATTTTCTAGCCGTTGGTGAAAGTTACTGGTGATACGTACTATTCTTTGGGAAGTTTTACTTTTTACATTATTGCTCATGCAATGCTTATCGCTGCAGTTCATCTTGATTTGAATTTTTGAATATTGTAATTTTCCGCAGATCATTCAAAAACTTGACTGGCACTTTTTTTCTTATTTTAATTCCTACATTTGAAATACTTGAAGGAGCAAAAATTGCGGGAGAAATTAAGCAAATAAGATTTTGGCGAGTTTTTTGAACAAAAAATTTTTGTGGAGACCTTTTGACTCCAGCAGAGCTTTTTTTTTTTATAGATTTTTGTTGAGAGACGCAGAAGATGCATCCCGATGTGCTTATCACTGCAGTGGTATAGCAACATTGTACTATACTTGGTTTACTCGGAAGGCTGGATTATCACCTTCACTTTTATAATTAATTTTGCCGTTTTGTTTCTTAAAGAACTTGAGGATATTCAGTGTTGATATTTTTTTTAAACTTCTGTTTTATGCGAAATTTGAACTGATGTGAATGTATTCGAAAAAGTAAAGATTCAGGGTTAGCTCTGATATAGTAAATCAAAAAGACGGGTCGGTTTTCACAACTTCCAAATTCAAATTGGTTAAGTCTTTCATACAGGAATGATGAGCAGCATTAAATAAGATAGGATAAACTGTCCCCTAGCTGTTTCATTATACATCTTGGTAAATAGGTTAAAGTTACTGTTTTGGATTGAAATAAGAGTGTCAGCGTATGGCGTAAGATTATGTAGTGAAGGATCCTATATATGATCTGCTGTTTCATGAAATTTGCTGGTGATTATCATTTGTGATGAATGTCGGATAACTGATTAATGAAAACTGAGAAGCATACAGTTATTGATTTATTGGATGACATCCGAAAGATCAAAAGATGTAACATTTATCTTCATGTATGAAAGTCTTGGTCCACTCTGGTGACAAGTTTCTGTTGAGTGAAAATGGCAGTCAAAATAGATTGGCGTTGAAATTATCTGGCGTGATCAAAATCCATAGCAAATGATATATAATGTTAGTAAAATTTTTGCATGGAAATTTTTACACGGACATAATATTAGTAAAATTTTTGCATGGAATTCAGATAGAAAATAATAATATATCAAAATCATTAGTTTTGATTGAATATCAGAACTCCATGCAAAAATTTTACTAACATTATGTCCGTGTAAAAATTCTTTGTAGTTCGAGGGTGTTGATAGGCATTGAAGTTATTATATTCTGCTCTATATAAATGGCGAATAGTTCTTTTCAAAAGCCTTTTGAAGAGTAGGAAATATCACAGCTATTACTCTGATCTCTTCGGCTTTGGCTAGCTTTGTTTAGATTAGCATGACAAGTCCTCTGCTCATAAAGAAGTATAGTCATGAAAGATTGAAAGATTAGTACAAACTAGGTATATGCCGTGCTGTTATATACATCCATGTTTCATTTCTACATAAGCTTTAGGGACAGTGCCAACACAGTTTGATTTAGTGAAATATTTTTAATGACTTTCAAGAATCAAGAAAAATGCCTCGAAAAGATGTAGTATCTTTAATCTCTGAATTCGCATGTCATACCCTGTTGTTTTTTAGAGTTCATCAGGATATGTTGCAAGAGGGAAGCGGAAATTCAATGGAGAGATAGGGTAAAACAGCTGATAGTTTCCGGGGAGCTACAGATTTTTATGTGAAAGAGTTATGATTACTGTGGATTTCTATTTCTCAAATTTTTTATCAGTTTAATTCTTTTTCAGATATCTTGTAGCAGCAAAATTTAATTAGTTGAACTAATAAATTATAACCATTTGCTATTTTGTTTTTTGCTTTTTTCGGCATCTTTGTAAAGTTTTGGTCAATTAGTAATTTTTGTTTTTTTTGAAATTCTGTTCCCATTTCCCTAATGATATGATTTCAGTGAATTATTTTAAAATTTAACCTTGCAGCAAAAAATGTGTTAACTTGCACGTTTTAAAGTTTCCAACCAATAAATGATTTATTGTAATTTCGAGGAGTGAAACGAAGTTTGTTGTGGTCTTTAATGTTTCATGAAGTTTTTAGGGCGGAATTTTTTTGTGGTGTTGAAATTTAGATTTATTTTCATTTATACGTTCCGCCAGCAAATTGTTATTCATATTGGGAGTGCTGGGTTGAATTTGTTTTTGCGGTTAACTGATTTTCCAAAATCTTTTTTTTGGGAAGAAAGAGGGAAAGAAAAAATGTTGGCATTCATTTTTGTGTTGTTTTGCAAATGGGAAAGGAATGGTAAAAGTTTGTCGGAAAATGATGAGAAATTATATTACTTTTAGAAAATGCTAACCAACACCGTATCAAAGATCGGGTGCAAGGTTTGATAGAATATTACTTAAATGGTTGGATTAGATGATACCGTTTTTAGCGGTAGAGGGAGATTGATAGGGAACCATCTTTCAGCACTGCGAGAAAACTGCGTGGCAGTCCTACGTATAATGTGAGATAAACCAGATTTTTATTTAGAGTTTTGCCGTTCTATCTGGTTGCTTAGCAAATTATTAAAAAAATTTGATATGAACGCTAAAAATATTTGATTAATTTCTGCTGGAAGTCTTTGTGTAACATTTGGAACAATTTTCCCTTCTTCAGCTGATGCATCTTATAAGATCTCAATGATGAATTTATAAGATTCTAAGATCCATAGCAATAACGTAACGAAGTACAGACAGACGGTTTTCTTTTTGTATTATTAACACATTTATGAAAGTTGTTGGCGACTTAACTGGTGGGACGAAAAATCAAGAGAGGGAGCGCGGAAAAAAAATGGATGCAAGTTTCTGAGATGGCGTTGAGATTCAGCGGAAAACAATATTGAAACAGGTGTTTATTTTGATTTTTGACGTGTTTCAGTTAGCTAGTTGTTGACTAAATTATTTATTGAGTTTGGTATGAAAGCAGGAATAAATTTTTATCGGAAATTATTTTTTAAAAAACAGTTACTGGAAAATAGCTAAAAGTATAAAATTTACCATAAAAGTGGGATTCCACTGTTCCAGCAAGAAATAAAATTAAATTATGGATATAATTGACTGAGTGTTATCATCATTGCTTAGCGTTATCACTATGAACATCCGGAATTTCTTTCCTTGAAAGAAGACTCTTTGAAGAAAAAAAATACATTGAAGAGAATGGTAGAATGGTATAACGTTGTGATAACTTGAATCATTATCTGTTGCTCATGCATTGCTACATGAACAGTAGAGATGATCTCTTAGCTTAAATAATATTGGGTGAAGCCGATGAAATTCTCTCATCTCGAAAGATATATTTTCCTTGACGACCTCAACGTGTTTAAAAGCTAATGCAAAAGAGAAAATGTGGCAATGTCTAAGTGGGAGAAATCGAAAAAGTGGTAATTTGAAAGATGTTACTGATTTAATCAGTTGCGCATTTTTGCAATTTCTTATGCTTCAGACGCGTGTGTTGAAAGGTATTAATAGGTAAATAAGAAGAAAAAATCATTATTTTCAGAATTTATATGCTCTATTTTTGAATCACTGACTTACTTTGTTTGAGTATTTGAATGTAGACTTTATTAAATTAGAAATGTTTTCGAAGATTTTTGAAAAAGTTTTCTGAATTATTTTTTTAATTTGTGAAGAATGAAAAGGGAGACTGACGAGGCCGAAAATAGAGTTTTCTTTTTCCGAATAGTTTTTATACCAACGAATTCCATGCTCTCAAATTCTTCTGAATTTTGAGGAACATTTAAACAATCCTCCCTCTTAAGGGAGTAAGTAACTTGACAAGTACAAAGCAAATATGAGTCAGATGTAGAAAGCTTGTTTTAAATATCAGGTAGTTGGGATGCAGAGGTTTTGATGGTAAGCTGGAAATTAAATGTTTTAAAAATCACCACAGAACATATCATGTTACTAAATAGGATTGTTTCTTACTCCGATTAAAAGTTTAAGTTTTATTGGTAGATTCGACCAGAAAATATTTTTAAATTATTATTTGTAGGCCTTTTCTAGGTAGAGTAAAATGAATTGTGATGAAACTGCCAAATCATTGAAATACCATTAATGTCTGTTTATCGTACATAAGGCTACTTATTTACGTTTTAATGATCATTGCTAGAAATGCAAAATACTCAGTGTGCAGTGATTGGACTTGGCAAGGCAGATGTTTTTATCAACCGATATTGTTGTGATGTAAATTCTTTAATCTTAAGTTTTCAGGTGGAGAGGAGAGAAGAAAATACTATTGTTCAAATGAATTATGTGGAATTCTATTAATATGTGTTATTAAATCTGAGTTGAATTATGATTACCAGAAAAAAAAAATCTCGGTTTCAATTGTGTCGATTTCATTATCCAATTGGATGGCAACTTAGGCTCCGAAAATTTCTGAGAAAAATCCCTCGAGCTCTTTCTCAAGAGACTTAAAAAGTCGTCCTCCTTTGTTTTTCAAGGGAGAAAATGAAAAAAAAGAAGAGGAAAAATGGGATGAAAGAGAAAAGAAAGAAGAGCTATCATCGAAAAGGTTCCTAATCATAGGCTTTTAAACCTCGTTGCCTTGATCGGATGCTTATTAGAAAACCATATTTTTTAAGACAAATAAGGGCTATGATTGCTGACATTCGAAATAAACTAAAATATATTAATTCCTTATAGTTATTGTATTTCTTATTTCGATCGGCCATAAAATTTAGCGAAAAAACGTGTTTTGAAAAAGAACAATGGTATCCATCTTTGATTACTGTTATAACGATTATTGATGGTTGTAATATAAAGCTCTATATTCGATATAGGAATGGAAGAGAATTTGGGTGTAGTTCATAACATTTGACAATATCAGTATGGTGGGTGCACCGAAATCCCATTCAACCTTTTCGGTCTATTCCATCTTCCGTCTTCTATATGTATATGATTTCGAATTGACAAATGCCACACCGCTGTTCAAAGTTCCATCATCCATTTTCTCCAAATTTTCATGTCTTGTCCATTTTTCTTTAATATTTTAACTTCACTTTTGGTGCTAATTCTTGTTCCAAACAACTTTTTTATCCATCTTAGTTAATTTTTTTGTTGTTTCAAAAATAACTCACAGATATTTCATCTGCCTAGTCATACATCACTATTAGAGCAAGCATGGCATAATATCATCTTAAGCCAGCAACTTCTTGTGTTATATGAATTATCATAGGATTGTCACTTCTGGTGAGCTAACTGATTTATTTTCCATTGAAATATTTTACCTGTTGTGTTCCTTTTTTACAAATAGAAGATATCGGAAGTAGTTCGGAAAGATATTTATTTGATGGATAGGAATGTTTGTTTTTTCATTATTAAGAATATAAGCAGAAATTTTATTTTTTTTCTCCTTTATTCTCTTTTTTCATCCGCTTATCCAATCCTCTTTGTCTTTTTATTCCATTTACTATCTATTATTACCGTACCCTTATCTAAATCAAATATTCAGGGAGTATCAGTCGTTTGATCACGTTTTGAGATTTTGATAATTTTCAAAGCTATTTTAAAAAAAATACAAAAACTGAAACATAGATTTTAAGCTGAATCGAAATAAATTGTTTGAACACACTTTTTTTTGCAATGGCTTCTTTTGCTTTAAATTTGTTCCATTATTTTCATGATTTTTTCTAAATTTATATGTCCTTGAAATCGTTGCCAAATTTATTCATTTCTTATTTTTTGATAATATTTCTGGTACTCCTGTTAAACATCGATATTATGGTCGATTAGTTTTGCATTCTTTGAGTTGGTTATTGGAACATCCAGGAGAGATGTGTGAGAGTTCCATGTTGACCTTTTCATGACATATTGTGGACAAATTGTTGTATATAATTTGATTCATATACTAAAAAAGGAAAATACGGCATGAATAACTCATGACTTACCTTGCCTTATTCATATTTTCTGTTTTTTTTTTCCTTAGACATTTTGTCTGAAAACTTGAATATTTTGTTAGAAGGAAACATAAGAAACTCTGAAACAATTAAAGAGCATACAAATTTTCCCAACCCCACCCATCAAGGACTTGAAGGGATATTACGTAAGGCATTACTTGACGTATTACAACATTTTTAATTTCGTTTCTTCCTCCCATCACCCTGAAATCAAAGCCCTTTTGATCATCTTGAATGTACCGAGAAAAATGAACTCGCAGTAAAGTTTAGTATAATGGCTCAAGAGTTTATTTTGAAAAGTTTTGTCTTGCAACATGTTGTAATTGTTGATGGTCAGAATATCCTTATAGTATGCATTTTGTTCTGTCGCTTCGCTAGATTTCACATATGCCAACTTTTCTGTTCTGAATGGATGGGCAGGTTGTGACAGTGCATTTATTTTTTGCGGAAGTGTTGATGGAATGAAAAATTGCAAAGAGAATGTTATTCCTCGTAACTGTACTGCTCTTTTTCGCTTCTCACTTCCAGCTTTCGCTAATCATTTTCGAAATTAATTTTCCTCTAACTCGAATACATTAGAAGATCCATTTTTCGTCTTAACGTAATATTGCTATTTTCACCAAACTGTTAATAGGGAGAACGAAAAAGGATATAGTTAATTGAGTTAATTATTAATTAAAGTAATGCAGTTTTAAATTTTGCTTTCTCTTTTACTTTTTCTGATATGATATTTGCTGTAAAAACAGTATATTGGGAATAATTCTTATGATTGTTCTATTCTATTTATAATATAAATGTATAGGATATCTGATTAGACTGTTTTCACTTTTTGTTGGAATGGCTTTTTTCAATCTAATATATTATAAGAAATTGAAATGGAGTAATTGTAGTAGTACCTTACTATACTGGTTTTATATCATACGATATCAATAGACTAAGGTGCTAGAAAATTTATCTTCAGCTATATACTCTCACTCTGGTCGCAATTGACCAATGTATTGCATCTTTCATGGAACATTTTTTTTCCGAGATTTTCTTGCCACTCCCATTGTCATAGGTTAATGTTATATGACAATTTTAAAAATTGGAAATTTTAATGGCTCTGTTAACTAGCAGTCATTGCTTGTTCTGATAATATTCAGAGAAAGTTTCTGGAAGATTAGTTTCCGGAAATTTTAGGATGGAAAAGATCCATTTTTCATGAATTGTTATTGCAGACTAAGGGGAAAAGAAACGTTGTATTTATATTTTTGGCATTTATTTTCGTTGGGTTTTACTTTTTTATTCTGTATATCATCTATTGTGAGGTTTACTGGGCCATCTGCCTGATGGAAAGGTGAATTTGGTAATATTGAAAAGTAGGGGGAAAAACGATACATTATTAGAATAAAAAGTGCATATTCTTTCTTCTTTGGTCATGGATCTTTGGAATAAATTCACCGTATACTCATTTTCTTTTGTTAGCTGTTTCACTAGATCTGTTGGCTGATATTCTGATTTTGTGAACAATATCCAGAAGTTGCTGATAACTAACGTTAAGTAAAAAGCAGTAAAGGACAATAAAAATGGCTTTTCTGCGTACTTCACCTCTAACATCACCTTCAACCTGTTGTATGGAATATGCACACATTGTATCGATGAAGGAATTGGTTTCAAGCCTGGCAATGCTTTCCAACTCTAATCAATCAGCCGCTAAAGCACAACGCCGACAAACTATCGTATCGTGTATGAGTGGAATGGCTAATTTGCCTACTTTGAATACAGCAACAACATTGGATGCACTGAATCAATCCGGAGTTCTGATCACTTCATTAACAACTCCGGATATCGCGCAAGGTAATGCCGTACATCGAGGGAGCGCTTCGTCGATTTCGTCGATTAGTTCTGGAAATATTCAGCCGTTGTCATCCTTACTGTATGCAAGTCAACAGTTTAGTTCGTCTACTTCGTCAAGTTTGGGTTTTGGTGAAATGTTTGACAATCAAAATCCTGAAATATCCACCAGCGTGTTCCTTGATCTTGTCGAAATCATGAAGTGAGCATTGTCTAGTCTCGTTGTCATCGATTCATTCTAGAGTTCGTGCAAAACGGGGATTAAGGGTATAGTTGTTGATAAATGCAAGATTATCATAAAATTTTGATGCTTAGCTTTTTTCTACTTCCTTTTTCTTACTCCTTTTTCTTATTATCTTTTGTTTTTTACAGCAAAGTTCAGAATAATTTTTCGAGCTTCTAAACTATTACAGTGTTTATCATTTTGAGTTTGATGATTTTCTTGCAGTGAAAATGCCAATGTTACTTTATGTAGCATCATAAATACATGTGACGAAGAAACGGTTTGTGTCAATAAAATCTCTGACTCATATAAATAATTCTAGTCGCATACATCGAATCTGTACCATTGACATCTTCAGCTGTTTTGTCTCTTAGCATAATTAAGTATTGTTATTGAAGAAAGTGTTTCTGTAATTTTACATAATGTTCCAATTTATTATAAAGTTTTTTCTTTTTTCAAGCTAATTCTATACATTTTATTTGCCACAATATTTTTTTGATCTGGGCACTGATAGTTGGAAGTTTTTGAGATATAACAAGATGAAGTATTCTGTAGCTTGAAAGTAAGTCAAGTTACTGCTGCTACTTACTGAAATTAGTCAAGTTACTGAATTTTATCCATCAAGGATTATGAGCTCAAACTGCCATCGTTACTCAGTAAGACATTATTCAGTCACATTTGGTGTGAAATTATCGAGCAGTTTTGTAGCTTACTTTTGCTAACTATTTTGTTTCATTATATTTTCATGTAATTAATTTAAGAAATTAGGCCAAGTTATCATTAATAGGAAATGTAAGCAAAGGCTACTAGTAGATTAAAAGTACAACCTTTGTTAGTCTTTTTTTAGATTTCTTTTGTGATTTTCGTGAGAATTCTCAACATAAATAAGAAATTTAAAAGCTAGCAAGATATTCGCTATTCCTTATATTGCAATCGATTATTATTATCATTCACAACTTTCCGAGCGTTTTACTGAATAGGATTATTTTTAAAGAACAAGAGCATTATAGTACACGATATCCTTTCTTGTCTTCCTCTTCCCTTTCTCTCCAATCTCATAGTTTAATCGATGCTAATTCCAAAGCTGAGGTGTGTCTTCTTGTTTTGACTTATTCAAAAAATGTTTTTTTTCCTTTTTATGCTATCTTTTCTTGGAGTGAATGTATTTGTATTAAGAATGAGCAAAAATGTACCACATTATAAGGAATTAAATATCGATTGTTATCTGGTTTTATCAGTAATCTACTGTCTGCTTAACTATATATTTCTTTTATTTTGGATTCGGTAAAAAATTCGAGATAATTTTTTGCGGCAGTGAAATTAAAAGGATGAACGACTTCTGTGTGATTAAACAATTTTCTAGTGAAATTTATATTAATTAAGATAAAGCAAGTTAAGGAAAAAATGTTAATAGCACGCAGTTTTTGCAGGGCAGCAACAAGTGCATCAACAACCGGTCAAAATGTAGTACCTATTGACAATAAAATTGAACAAGCCATGGTTAGTCTGCCGTTTTCGATTTCTTGAAAAAATTGCTGTACAGCTTCATATAATTAATTATCACAATGTTTCCTTTATCATCTCTATTTTATAATTCTTTATAACAAATGCTGTTGAGCTCGTTTTCTTGTTTCAAACTATTTTTATGTTGGATTCTGCTCATCTCAAATAACATTTTTCATGACATCTTAGTTGAATCCAAAAATCTGGAGTCTTCGGTTTAAATTTCTGATCCAATTTTTTATCTCAGGATAACTTTTTCCTCACAGTAATTGGGGTGGGATTTTTGAAGAGATAGGAAAAGAGCAATGTTTTTAGTAACTTTTTTATGAAAGTTTAAAAAGTTTAATTCTAGGTGTATAAGTTTTTGAGATTAAAGATGAAAAATCACCTTTTATTTTAAAAATGTTATTTGAGCAACCATTGTTATTTAAATGACTAGTCTTTAGTATTGAGTTGGATATTTGGTAATTAGAAATAAGTCTCTTCAGGAATAGTTGAAAGTCGAAGATTAGTTGTGAGGTATATTGCTAACTGATCAAAGAAACCTTACTTTTTTTGGGATCAGTGAATAATGAGGAAATCTCTTCATCTGTATAATCTTTTGAAAAAAGCTTGCTACATAGTTCCATTTGCTTTCAGGATTTGGTCAAGACCCATCTAACATTTGCTGTCCGCGAAGAGGTTGAGATCCTACGCTCTACAATTGTTGAATTGGAAGCAAAAGTAGGTGATAATCTCTTGTGGAACTTGGTGCTTTGATTTTGTGACCAAAGACAGAATCAGGCGTTCATGATTTTCTTCCTGGAAAATCCAATTTAGTTCCTGGATATAAGTTTGCGAAAAGTTATAGCCGGGGACTAAGTTAAACTTTCCCAGCAATATTATGCTGTTATTTCCAGGTTGCACAGCTGGAAAGCCAAAATCAAGTACTGAAGCAATTTGCTCCGGTAGAAGTAGTCAATTCATTGGCAGTACTTGTACAGCAACAGCAACAAAGGCAAATGCAATTACAACAGCAACAACTCTCCTCTGGTGCGACCTCACCTAATCCTGCACAGCCCATTTCTGTTCAGGTATTACATCTTGCAAATTTTTAAAAATAAGATATATCATATTCAGCGCTTTTATTCAGTGCCTAAGCATTTGATATATTATCTTCATATATTTTAAAACAGCTTTGGTTAATCCTACTATTATTAATTTTGAAGGAATATTTAAGAAGTCTATGGAATTTGTTCTTTCTTAAAACTTGAGAATTCAAGTTTGTAAAGTATCGAATGAAGGCTTCCGCGTTGGCGTTAATTCTGTGTAATTATGTGTCAAGCAGGAAACGGATAAGAGGCTTTCCAAAAAATTATGTTCACTTCTTTTAAATAGATAAGGTGTATGCCAAATAATGATTCACCTTTTTTAAATAGACATGATTTATGGCAAATGAAAAATAAATGGGATGAAATTTGTGTGCAAAAGATTTCTAAATCTAACTCTCGGCGACTTCTAAATCTAATTGTTATCTTTCCAACATCAAAGCTAACAGGCGATTGTGCAAGAATAATTAAGAAATTTCGAGATGTTTATTTAACAGCAACTGTTTAAATTTTTCATTATTCTCATTTTGCGTCATTGAATGATTCATGAAAATATTGTTTTTTCTTTTTCTTATTTTAATTCTATTTTTAACTTACAGGATAGGTCGTTCCATTATTCGTGACACCATCTGAAATTTTTCCATTTATAATATATATTACATCCAATAGCTCAAGAGCCTTTTCAAAGGTTATAATGATGAAATTTCTTTACTTCTATCCTTCTATGTTTTATGTTTGCAACAACGAAATATTTGCAAGCTATCTCCGTTCTTGTAGTAACATTATTGTGGTTTTATGTTTGTACTGGAAAATGTGGTGTCTTCTAGACCTTAACCTCGCCATGGACTATACATTGGTCATGATCACATATGTAGTTTACGAATAAGCTCCATAGTTTCATTCATCATCAAATCATTCTATTTAATCTAAATCAAGAGAGTTGAATAAAGAGTTTATTAGACACGATGAACTCTTGAGTTTGCATTACTTTAATTTGAACTTTGACCAACCGAATGAAGGGAAGAAAAAATACAGTACTGTGCTGAGTAGTAAGATAGTTCTGGATATCCAGTGTGATAAGTTCTTGTTGATTTAAATATTTCGATATGCTTTATGTTTTAAGCAGTTGGTAATGTTGTAGAGTACACAAGTACCAGTTCAAGGCATCCAGAAGCAATCGATGAAATCTGAAGTTTCCGTTAGTCCAACTTCTTTGCCAAGCATTGTTCCTCCTGTTGGTTTGCCACCAGAGGTACAACCAAGCGCAGAGCAAAAACAACCAAAGCAACTTTCCGTCACTGGCATCGTTGATTCTAACATGCAGTAACAGTAATGTTGGTTTAAATTATTTGTGTTATGCTTTCTCTTTCCCTTCATTTTATATTGAAGTACCAAAATTTGCATTGCAAATTTAAGCTGTAGCTTCCTATGTTTTCAAGTAAAAGAATGAAAAAAAGAAACTTCACTCCATCCAATAAAGAAATTTTCCTCCAATACCTATGCCATCCGCGTATTGAGAAAATTATGGCGCTATACTCCGAAGTCTTGTATTGAAAAGAAAAACTTTAATTTTCTAAAAACGTTGAAAGTTCCGTGGAAAAAAGGAGATGGATTCACTGTTGTAGGAAATACTTAGGAATCTACTGATTTTCATTAAATTATTTGTCTAGCTCTCTATGCTGTGGTATATTTATTAATCTGTTTGTTTAGAGCGTCTTATAGTTGCTTGATTTCGGATTCGGCTGGAAATAATTTATTAGACTGGGGAAGGAAAACAGCTTAAACGAAGTAGATGAAGTGAATGTTAAGTGATTGCTAATTACAAAAGGTCAATCAATGATCGTCTGCAAGCAGCAGCAGTTGACATTTCAGGTTCGTGATAAGATTATTAGTGTTTTTTGCTTCGAAGCTTTCTAATTTTTCTGCTGTAGGCGATGATGGAAAGTTTCCGAATGCTCCAGGGTAAATAAGTCGGACGATTTGAGATCCGATTTGAACCATTTTATTCAGATTACTACTAAGCCCGATAAAAATTTGTTAAGTTAGTTAGGTAAGGTGTACTCATCAATAAATTAATTCTATGCTTGTGGAAATTTGGTTTTAGCGAAGTGAAAATACTGTCAATCATATATGTTCGGCCATTTCGTAGTATATTGTTTCAATTTTTATTGTTCTATCATAACATCGTTCATCTGTAATTATGATTTGTGATATGAAGCAGCGATATCTGCGCATTTTACATACTTCCGCTTGCAAAATATATTCAAAATATATGCATCTTATGCACATAGTATGATGTTAAAATTCAAAGCATTGGTTCCAAGTTGATGGTGCTCTTGAACAAGAACCGGTTGATAGAAAACGATATTTTGTTCATTTCTCACAATGTATTATAAAGTGTTGTTATGGTTTTTAAAGTACTTACTGAAATGATCCATGTGGCGGTTATTTCAACCTTATGGAATTTGAATTTGGATCTTTTCCATAGTGGATCTCTTCCAAGCTCTTGTCTGAAATGAAATTTTTTTTTTAAAAAAAAACAGAAGACACAGCCTGCAAACTTAGGGGAGTTCAATTAGCGCTTTTGGAGAGCTTATTTCGTACAATGATAATATACTGCGATCGATTTGGAATTTTGAAGGATATGAAGGCCTGATCGGCAACACGTATGCTTTGAAACCGTAATGTAGAACTCCGTTGTTTAAATGCAGATTATGTTTGGTCAGCATAAAGGAGTAATTAATGAACAGGGTGGGATTCCTTTTTTTTATTCTGCTGACAATCAGTAACATATACAGTAAAGAAAATCATCACTTGACAGGGCCGGAGGTATCGTGTCTATGTTTGGTAGCTCCATATGACATATAGGAAAGCATCGTAATTTACTTTACAAGATCTGAACATCTTTGCATAAGTTGTCATTCAGACTTAAAAAAAAAAAAAGAGTTCCATAAGTTATCTTTCTGTTTAAGCTCCTAACTAATACTGAGGATCCAAAGCCATGGAATATAGAATAAAAACAGAATAATAAAAAAAAACAGAATATTTTAAAAGCTGGATTAATGGTCCAAAGATACGGAACATAGATGAACATTTGATATAGTTCTGATCGAATAATATGTCATTCATAAATGGACAATAGCTTTTTGAGAATTGGTAGATGAGAATAGATATATTGATATAGCGCTTCCCTATTGATGACATGGTAATTGGTTAACTTATTCGTTCATTAGTTTAATGGTTATTAGGCTGGAACTAACTTTCAAATAGAGTGAATTGCGCTGGTGTTCCGTTCATCGTTCTGAATACAGATGCGAACATTTGTTGGAATACAAAATCTGCTGGAACAGGACTGTAGCTCATGATAAATGATAAGGAAGGAGGTAGGAAGAGGAATTCGCACTCCGTTCGATCATTCGGTATATCCTCCTATCTCTTCTGGTAATGTAAGGAATGAAGTATATGAAGAATGTAGTTGTATTTTCTGACCATTTACTGTCTCATTTGAAAAGAGCAATTCCCATTTTTATTTTTTCAAATAATCCTTCCTATCCTTCTTGTATTGCGCGATTCTCATGTGAGTGACTTCTGCGAAAGAAGAAAATTCTGTGAAAGAGGAAAATTAATTTTGATAGCGGGGAAGTAGGCTTGTATCGAACTAGTGATCATTTGATCAGTGATTGTAGCAAAAACTGGCACGGGATGACGGATGTAGCCAGACTGGATGAATGGTAAGTTGCTGAAATGAACTTTCTAGAAAATCGGAGGATGGAGAACAGTTGAATGCTGTGATTGAAGCGATTTCGGTGTCTAAAGTTACGGTCATATTACCAAGTGTTCTAATTTAGTGAATGATTGTGGAATTATAATACCACAGAATAGAATTATTAGTTCTCACCATGAATACTATTAATTTTTCATCTTTTCGTAAAGCATATGCAGAAATATTACGGTCGAAAATATTTGATCTCTTGATGGCTTGGTCACTCGATTTATTAGTGTTCCGTGGTTATATGGTATTCTTGCCAAAATGTCTCGAGATGCAGTTTGGTATGCCACAATACGATGTACATATACTTATGGGTTAGTTGCCGATTACTTAGAAAGAGATGAATAAATTTGCAATTGGGAAATACGGGTACTTAAGACGATAACGGTAACGAAGGATAGATGGAAGATGAAGAAAATGCTGTTTCCTTCTTTCTTAAGTTAAATTACTTTAACATAAAAATGGAATGGAAAATTTTTAGTTTATTAAATGTTATATTGTAAAAGCAAAGAGCAAATTGGGAAAATATCGAAGAAGAGTTAAATTAAGGGATAAATTTGACAAAATATTGGCCTGAATAAATAATTTTTCAGGCATTTTTACCACTTTCAGCATTTTATTGATTAAATAACATTAACATTCTTTTTTATTCTTATTTATTAAGAAAAAATATTTTTTGGATTATTGGGTTATATTTCTTCATCATTATTTCACTTTCATTTCATGGTTTATTTCTTTAACTACGCAGCGCAACGTATGTAATCCTTAGATTTCTAGCATCCTTTAGTATATTTGAACTTGCAATGAATGCAATAATAAGTGACGGTATAATCGTACGACGTCATAAATTTATTGGCCGTGAAATAGCAACATTAATTTTAGTCTTTTCTATCATTAACAGTGCTTCCTTCAGCAAAGCCTTTTTTGGTTACTATTCGATAGCAAGCTCAATTGGTGCCACTGATCGGTAAATGTTATCATTCATTCGCAATACTTCTCAATTAAAGCCTCGGCTTTCTTTTCTCAAGTGATTGCATTAATCTGCGATGGATCTAGATTATGGCAGTGCTCTATACAATGTTGTATGAAACGAAAATTTTGTTGAACGGTAAGATTCGCATTTTTCTCCATGTAATCAGTTATATATTTTTTGTTTGTAAGGCACTGGACATTCAATTCGTCCGAATTTGCACTATTCACATTTTAATTTTATTAACATATATCTGATCAATTTGAACTGTTTCAAAGTGCTGACGCTCGAAGTTTATTGATAGCCCCTCCCTCTCCCCGCTTCCTAAATTACTTCTAGTAAAAACTATTTTTGCCATATCAAATACAAAAATACATGCGTTATTTATAGAATCCTAATACAAACTACAGTAACAAGATCAAAAAGTTCAGGGTTGAACAACAAATCTGCCACAACAAAAAGATTAACAGTATAAATATCAACCATTTCTTAAGGATTTAAATTCAAAATCCAGCAGATCCGACAGTTTACTCTATGTCACAATATTAAAACTCAAAAAAGCTGAGAACTGTTGATCACAGAATCAAAGGTAACTGAAGCTTATTTGAATGACAATCCCATTTCTTAACATTGCAGTTCGCTCTTCCACATTAATTAGCTTTTTCTCTGCAACACATCTAGGTTAATATTATGAATGAATTTTGGATCCTTAACTGAATTCCTTACGTAACATTTATTAAAAAGAAAGTTATATACCACACTTAACTTTTTCTGGAAGTTTCTCAGTAAAAATGTCCAAGTTATTATTCGATAAAATAAAATTTTTTTCCATATTTCCCGCAGGTAAGATAAAAACTATTAAGAACTGATATAATGATTGAAATCACTATTCCCCAATGGAATGAATGATAAACTTTTTCATGTAATGAAAAATTATCAAATTAGATTTCAAATTTCTTACTTTCGTTTTGCCGCAAGTGTGCCCAGTAAACGGTTTCCGGAAATGAATGTTATAGTGCCAATCACTGACAAATATTTCAGCGTCTCAAACATGGTTAATTGTAGCCAGAAAACAAAGTATAACCCGAATATTCCTGCAAAAGATAATTGTTACATAATAGCGTACTATGCTGAAGAATTTGGAAAGTGTTATATAAATGAGAAAACGATTTTCAGTATTCCTTAAGGGAAAGTTGAAAAAGTTTATTAAAACACATACTAAAATGAACTGAAAATTAAACTATGGTTGGCACCAGCCTATGAAAGATATATATAATCGAAGTTAATCAGGAAAGCGTCTTAATTTCGAGGAAAAGATGCCGCTGCATTCATTTCTTCTACTAATGGGAGCAAACCTAGTACTACCTATTTCAGACCAGAAAGCCAAAATATGAATTAGAGTCTTTTAGCAAGCAAATATCTGTATTATTTATAACACAAGTAGAAACAACTTCTCGTATTATATTGTGATCAGCTTTTGATCATTATTTATTGTTCAAAAATAATTACAGAAGAAAAATTTAGATTTACCTGTTAAACCACCATGGAAAAGAAAAACGAAGGGGGACGCCGGCAAATTTCCAAAATTTATTCCAATGCGTAGCCACTGAAACTTTTTACAAAATAAACTTGCATTTGAGGTATTACTTTAATATTGCTAATAAAAAAAATGAATATACGATGATTGCAACATACCAAAATGAGGACAACGAGCAATGGAAATGAGGAGAGGAAAATAAAAATAGTTGAAACAATTCGGGGCGGCCGCTTTTCTGGTTCTCGAAACATGTGTTTGATTTCCGGTGCTTTTTCGTAGATAATGCGTTCGGATTTTTTGATTTTTGGAGCGGCTATTGCGGGAAGTTTCAGATTAACGTCCACCTGTAAAGGAACTTAAGCAAGTATGGTCAGAATTTTCGTCTACTCAAATGCTGGCATTCCTAATTTAATTCGAAATGTTTCGAAAATGTTTTAAATCTAACAAATGCAATGCATATTTTATTTGCTCTAAACAAATTTATACCAAATTCCAGTCTAAAGAATGTGATATTGCCGAATCACCCACTATTAATCGTACCACATACCGGCCTGATAAGCCTTCAAAATCTTTCGCAACTTTTTCGAAATCCTGAAAATTCAGGCAGTGATTGGCAAACATGTGAACTTGTCTCATGAGAATAATTTCGCTCGATTTATATTATGTAAAACTTGATATAAAAAGACAGAGCTATTTTAAGAAAAAAAGTTCAACCATACCACATCAAATACATAATTGTGGTTGTGATCCGGTGTGGCAACAAAGATAATTTCTTGACGAGTATTACTATGAACAAATACTACGAATGCCTGATGAACCAACAGTGCTTCACCAGTTTTTGCTTCATTAACTTTAAATCTGATCTCCATCTTGCTATGCACGTCGGCTTCTAGAGTTTTTCCTATCTTTGAACTTTCTTTAACTCTGAAAGACCTGAAGTGCAGTCTCCATTCTATCTTTTCCAAATTACACTCATTTTCTTTCTTTTTAATAAATTAATTTTAAAATAAGAATGAACTACCCTATTCAACTCCATTGCATAACAGGACTGAATTAAAAAACTGAACTCGAGTTTAACTTGAGGCTAACTTTTTAATAATAACGAAACAGACATAATCTAGGGACAAATCCAAGTATCATAACAACATTATTCAACATTTTACCACCTACGAAATGGATGACGACGGCTTCAGAAGTTCTCGATCGAATACCGCCACCGTGACATCCTCGACTTTCGTTTTTATAAGTACCCTCATCATAAGTGATGCACCATTTGTTCCAACCAAACGTTTATCCTAAAAAAAAAATAAATAGTCAGTTTAATTATGTGCTGGAAAATAAACACCAACAAAACATACAACATCTTGGGACAAATCCAAATATTACAACAATATGATTCAAAAGTAAAAAAAGATGAAAAATTTTTTCGAAACATACAAAACCGTTAAATGTTCCAGGATAACACTCAAATTGGGCTTTTCTACTTCCTCAGGAATGTAGTTCTTCGATAAGATATTGTTTTCAAAAATTCGAGAATATGCTTATAATGCGTTAAATTTCCCAATTTCAATAATTCTGCTGTAAATTGCAATATAAGAGATTACCTGACTTCCAGCGGTTAGGGCAAGATTATAAAATCCACGTTGCTTAATATTTTTAACATATACTTCATATAGCGTATTAGTTTTATCAGATGTAACTTCTAACTGTTGTCGTATAACTGCAATTTCTTTGGAAGCTACATGCGTCGCTGTATCCAAAATGACTGACAATGGTCCAACCGATTCGCCCAATACATTCGAAACACGAATTATCAATGGCTGCAATGAATTTTCATTGCAAATAACGCAATTTAGATAAGAAAATAGTAGAAGCTTAATAACATCATCCTATATAAAAAATAGAAACCACTCTCACTTTTAAGTATCCCCATGTTATAATCAATTCCGTTTTCCAGAATAATTATGATTGTAAAAATCACCTAAGCAAAGCCAAAATATGTCATAATCTTAAAAATACCGCATAATTTGGCACGGAAAATTCTCGAAAACGTAATTTTATTTAGCAAAATGATGAATTATGTTGGTAATAAAGAACAGTCAAATCTCCTATTTCTGGCTTTGGAAAAATTATTGCCGGAAAAATAGAAATTTAATGGGAATAAACCCACTTTGGCTGCATCTAATAAAGATACGCTTGATGCCAGAGAAAAGACAACTGGAATTTGGAAATGATTATTCGCAAGCTTCTTCAATGTCAACAACAGGAGATAGGCGCCACGATCCAACTGCACAGTTCTACGACTAAGCAAGTAATTTGCCAATTTCACCGCTTCGTCCTAAAGAAGATTCATGTATTTAATTTAGGGTCCATGTTTTCTTGATAGCTGAATCTAACTTGCGTTTATAGAAATTAATGAATACTAACGCTTTTCACACTTGGTGACTTGTCAAGTTTATCAGCTAAGCTGTAAATTCCATAAACACCAAAAGCAGTGATTGATAAGCCGCCTTCCAGCTGCAAAAGTTTAATTTTATTAAATTCACTTTTCGATGAAATTCTTCACACAGCTTCACATCTGCTGCTTTGTTGCTAAAGTTCGATGAGTAAAATTATAAAATTTACATGAAGATACTTGCTATCCACTTCATCCGCCTGACCAACCAAATCTTCGATACGTATGAAGAACTTTTCGGCGTTGATGTTATCCAATAAAGCTGCCGCATTCAACCCATATGCAAGACTAAAAATATGATCTGATTCAATAAGAATAGAACAATTAAATGTTAGCAAAGCAAGAAGATTAATTCAATGCTGTTCTATTACTTAACAATTCCAAAATAAATTAATGAAATTACTGAATCTTCGCAAAAGTTTCAAAGGTTCAAGTTAAGAGTTTAATCTCTCAAAATATGAAAATAATGAGATTAGTTTGAATAAAACTGTTATACATGTATCAAACTTTAGTCAAGCCATCAGGCGATTAATCAATAGATAGATATATTTCTACGTAATCTGTTGGTACCATCAAGAAGCCAAAATATTCTATGCCAAAATCGAAAAGAAACCTAGAAGCGCTATCATCCTTTGCCAATGCAACAGTTAAAGCTTCGGAAAAACCATTATAGTTTACTTTCAATTTCAATTTTTCGGCAATAGCAAGCGCCAAATATATGTTGTGAGAAGTTGGAGGATCTTCTTTTAGCACTGCTTCCACAATTCCTTTAGCATTCGGTACAGAAAGCGAACAATCTTTCAGAGCAGCCGCAGCACTGACTGCGTGATATAGTTGCCCTAATTCCTCGCCATTCGCTTTTTTAACTATACTGCAGAGAGCCTACAAATTCATAAGTACTAATGGATAATGATAGCAAAAGTTCAGAAGATGAAGACTTCTTACAGATTTATTCACGCCAAATCTCTTATAATATAGGAAACTTTATGACAAAGAAAACCAAAGCATCTTAAAATTACTTTGTTCTTGCCAGCTTCAATCGGGATGCCTGCAAGTTTCAAACCGGCTGCACCATGATGTATAGCAGATAACTCCTGAAATGAATGAAGAAAATATGTTGTAGTGAAATATATGTAACTGTAAATAAAACATTATTACTTGGATTTGCTAAAAAAAGCTAATAACATCTTTACTGTTAGAGCTAAACCAATATGAATGCAGTCGTCAATATACTGATGGACGAATATGATCATCGTTATAGTTATAGCCCAGACTCGACCCAACTTGTGACTTAGAAAGTTCAAGCAATTGCTTAGTCTACGATGTTAGATAAATTCACAGTCATCCTAGCTCATTATTACGATAACTGTTCTCATCGTCATGAAATCCTCGTCCTTTCTATGGCCTTCGCCATAAGTACAAATAAATTTTTCTTAATCGCCGTCGTCTTCCGAGCAAAGGATCTCTGCACCACGTGCAAACTATGATATGAATGATACGGACGTGAAGTGAAAAACACATTTGACTTTTGCAGAGTTCAAGAATTTAGATTTATATTCGAAAAAAATTAAAAAACAAACGTTGCTATCAAGAGCATTGATTAGAACAGCATGTAATGACTTCTGACTTCGTTCATCCAAATAAATGTTTAAAAATGGTGTTGTACATTGGGCTACGAAAAAAAATAAAGATAAATTGATGAGCGAAGTATGCCACATCCGTGCTGTGTACATTGAAATTCTGTAATTTGAAAATTCTCAAGTTCGAAGTTAGACGATATCTGGTAATCATTCAGCAAATTTTATCTAAATCCCAACGGAATTTATTCCTGGAATGCAAATTTTATACCAACACTTTAATTTACTCAATACTCCAAGATTTTAAGTTTAAAATTTTGTTGGAAACAGAACTTAAGTTCAAATTAAAAGTTAAATTACTGGGAGTTCACGCCAATATCTTGCACTATCTCGTGACAACCGACTTCGAAAAAATGTCAATAATATCTAAGACGAAATTTAAAAAACGAAAATAACCTCCCCTCTCCCCGAACCTCTCCCCCACACCACGTGTCACACTGTCAACTGTTTTTCAAATTTTAATGTAAAACGGAGATTCCGTTATGCAATTATACTATCTCGTGACATTCAACTTCGGTAAAACCACCAATTGCTGGAACGGGAGTACGTAAAAACAAATTATCAATTTTAAATTGTTCAGAACTCTTATTGCCAAATTTAAAATTTACTTGAGTTCTGATGATAATTCTAATTTCGAATTATCCATTACCATAACCCTAAAAATTGGGATTTATCGAAAAACCTAAAGTTTTTGAGAAATTTTAAGAATTGAAAGTTTAATTGTAACTTAAAACTGCATTTCTCTTTGCTTTTGCTAATAGTTTGTCTAATAATAAACGAAGAAGTAAATGATAATTCGGAAGGAAATTTTTACTCTTCCATTTGGAAGGATTTTATTTGGCAAGTTTCTTTTGACAGATGAAATCAGTGCTTCCATCAAAAATATTGAAAAGTTTCAGGATGGTTTTGCTTAGATTAAGTCCATTTTACTTTCACTTACTTCACTTCTACTTTCAATTTATTCCAGAGAGTAAAATTTAGAAAGAATTAAAATGCTTTTTATGTTTAAAATTAGTGTTAATGATGGAAAACAGAACTTCCTTACATTCTCTTCTTCCTCATAAAACTTGAAGATATCAAATTTTTCACACATTTAAATTATTTTTAGCAAAGGAAAAAATTGTTTTATTTCATCTTTGATATAAATGCTGAAAAATATTTTTTTGTCATTGACCATTGAACTTTATGAATAAAGCGAAATTTTGGCTTTTCTTGAAAGTCATAGGATCTTCTACAAATCATTTATGCAATCGCTCCCCAAATGAAATACAATATTCTCCCTTTTTCCTTTTTGAACGAATAGTATGAGCCATTATTTCCTTCTTGAAAATTTTCATGCCTTTTTTGAATTAAGATATGACAGAAAAGTCGTGGAGTGTTAAGGCCTGATAAGTTTTTAAACTTACGAGTCAATCGAATCCATACGATAGTATTATTATCACTGCTACTATATTCTTAGATGAGAATATAGTGGGGGTTTATTTTTCATGAAATTTATTTTAAAAATTATTTAAGCTATAATCAACTCCTTTTTGAATACTTTGAAAAGAATGAGAATCATTGTTGATCTAATCTATGGAAAGAATAAATGAAATGTTTTGAGAGTTGATATGCGATCATGTGTGATGAAAGTTACCAGAACACATCATTCATTTGATTATCAGATAGATAATTCCCGTAACTTCTTCTAGCTTGTAATGATTTTTATAATTCATTGTTATTTTGGATTTTGAGAAAAATTGAATATGGAGATGTTTTCTTGTTTAGACTTCATAATCACACAATCCCCGAAGGGCCAAGTGATCATGTATTGCACTTAACTGGATTGACAGGATTGCGGCTAAGTACTCCGGTATGGCAAATTTTTGCAAACAATGTGCGTATCGCATTTACACTGGAAATATGGATACAAATCGAAGATGAACAAGCGGATTAGGCCATAATAATCTGTACGTGTTTCTTATATGTTTCCATCAAACTTTCTCTATTTTAATTTATTGTGAAGTCAAAATTTTTTTTGTAATAGATTAAAACAGTTGAATCATCTTCGGGAGGTTGATACTTGACCATACCCGGTTTACACTAACTACTATTATAATGCCAGAATAAGAGCATTTAAATTCACAAAGACTACCAATTTGTTGTCAAGATTATAAAGAGAATTTTGTGATTTGATATTACCAAGAAGGTTTAAAAATTGTTTTTGCCGAATTCTCAAAATTCTGATTCCAGAAAACTTAATTAATTGAAATTAAAGCACTTAATGATATAGTGGGAAAGGACGGGATGCAACAATATTGACGTTAAATTTCATAACTTCTTCGCTCGTACTATTTTCCTTCTCCTTCTTGTAATTAGAAATTAATTAACGAAACATTAGTGCGCATAAGTAATTAATAGAAACCAAAGAAACGATAAACGATAATTACGGCTCATTGATAGTTTCAATTTGGCTTTTTGTGGTTATGAAAAGCTATAAATAGTAGAAAAAAATTAGAGATATATGAATAATGACCAAATAAAGATTAGCATCATTTTTTTTCCAAGAATTAGAATTTCTTATAGAAGAGATTTAATTAAAATTGAAAAACGATTGTTTTTTGTGCATTCGGTAATGAAATCTTCCTAAATTTGAATTATTACTAAATAGGACCCAATTTCCTTGCAATAATATAACATCGTCACGACATAAAACTATTGTATTTGGTTGTCAGTCATAAGCGATCGGTAATAAATGCTGTGACATCGAATGTTCCCATGCAATTACCGGTAATGACAGATGTTATTGCAAGATTTAGATATAATGATTTCACTAAATAAATTATTGCTTTGTGTTATTCGCTTACAACTAACGAATATGTTATCATTTATTTGGCTCTGCAATGCTTTTTCATATACGCTTAAGGACTGCTAAAATTTAAAATGGAATTTGTTGGAACCGAATAAGTAAGTTTATCTTATCATTTCGTTTTTTTAAAAAAAGTTCCTGAACATTTCATGAGCATTATTTCGCTGTTTTGTATTATTTTCCTTCTAAAAAAAAGGATAAATCATTCGTTGTCAAGATGATCAAAGATATTGGAAAAGATGGAAAAAATTCCGAATCACTTCTTTTTGTCAAGAATAAAAGAAAAGAATTTAAAATGATTGAACTATTTAAATTGCCATATGTGAAAAATGGTTGCTTGATAATAAGTAATGTAAACTTATGAAAACAACAGGGACAAAGACAATTGATGCATTGATTTCACTCTCAGCGATAATCGATTTTACATTGTTCCCACTTTTACCTATAGGACTGATTATGGATGAACCTTGCGTTCTCATTCGACTATATACCAAAAACTTTATCGATTTAACACGCCAGTTAGCTTGACAACAGTCACTTCCAGCAGGTATGTATCAATATACTATCAAGTATCTGAGGATTAATATCACTGCAATTAAGTGCATCCTCCTTGAGAGTAGTTGAAATTATCCTTCACTTTTAAAAATACTCCAAAATTGAATTCTAATTCTAAAAAGCAAACGAATTTAGAGTTATATCAATGTCGAGGAACACAAAACAGCAGTTGCAATAGAAAACGAAAGTGAATTGAAGGTGCAATATGATGAGTGGATTGCAAGTGATTTGGTAGGTTTTTAAACATTTCTATGGTAAAAAGATATTTATAGCAATCAGTGACCGTTTCGGGACACTCAGACAAATTAGCAATTTGTTCATGAAGTCGGCCATATTATCGGTCTTTGGCATGTTCACTGCGGGATTAGTGAAGTACCATGTAGTGATCTGTGTCACGAGAAAACATCTTCTATGATAGTAGGTTTCTTCTTTTTTGATTGAATTTGTTATGTGTATTTCTTAGAACTTGAGAGACTTTATTCTAATTTAAAATTACACGAAGTCCCGAACCATATTGTCGTCGGTCTGCGAATAATATCATGGCCAGAAATGAATTCTAAAAGTGTCAGAATTGCAGTGATTATACCGCTTATTGAAAATGATCAAAACTAAATACGGCTTATAACCAGCTTCATTTAATCGAGGAGTATTTGTAGAAATCATGAATCATGAATATCTTTCATGATTCATGAATATCATGGACATCTTTCGTAAAGGAATCATGATATTTTTCCAGAAATTCGTTGACGCGCAGTTACAATAATATTCAAAGACAAGCTGATTAAATGATCTGTTAATATTAGACAGTTGATAGCTTTAATGCCATATGAATTATGCATACTTTGTAACGGAGACATTTAAAATGAATGGACGATGGATGTTTGATGATTTCTTTAAATGTGGGCATCATCATTAAGCAACAAAAACGTGTGCGAGAAACGCACTGAGTCACGGATAAATGTGTTGTACAATATTCTATCTCAGCTAGTTTATCTGAACCATTCCAAATGTCAGGCTTTGGGTCTAAAACAAGCTACTGGCATTTTTTTCTAACCAAACTTCATTTAATTTTTCAATCTAACACTACTTATCATTGATAATGAAGTTCTGTTTTCATTTTGTCTACCAAATCTCAGTCTTGTGGCATTTATTAAGATCCTACCAAATCAAAACCATCTTCTTCCAGAAAGTATGATAAAATAAGATCTTCAGGTGCAAATTGGTGCAAAACTTCTGGTTTAAATCGCATTATTATTCATCCCAAATATATTCTCAGTCCTTTTCTGTAAGTAAAACAGAATAATAAAAGATCTAACTGAATAAGATTACGATAAATTAAGCAATCGGATCCAAACTGAAGCCAAGATCTTCAAGACTCTTGCAATTTTCCATTTTCTTCAATTTATTCACTTGATTTTTGATCTCTTCTCGAGTTACTTCAAGAACCGTATCAATAGTCTTCATATCATCTTCAATCATTTGCTTTGCTTGATCGGTTGCAATCTTGAGAAATGTGGTATTTCCAAAGCATATCCAATTTTTACTTTTCTGTAAAAGAAAAGGGATTAAAGCTGTGTTATTGCACCGATATCTTTTCCGTAGAAAATTGTATTGTAACATGTCAAATAATTTCATCAAGTTGACGAAAAGATATTTCCGCGAGAAGCTTTGTCGGAAAACCGATGAAAGCCATAATATATTACAGCAATAAAAATATTCTTTATAGCATTTTTAGATAAACATTTTTTAGATATTTTTAGATATTTTTTAGATATTTTTTTTTAGATATTTAGACATTTTTAGATATTTTTAGATAAAAAATATTCTTTACATCACATTACACAAACATTACTTGCAACGTTTCTCCATCCCTCCAGACGAATGTATTATCTAATTTGAATGTATAACATGTAAGATGTACATCTATATAAGATATAGGCTGTAACATGTAAGATAGAGGCTATATTCTTTGCATAAAGCATTTCCTATCATATTATACAAAAATTACAACATTTTCTCATACCCAATGACGAATTTGTTAACTAATTTGAATGTAAAATGTAAATTTCGGTCTTTTATTTTTTTTGTAATTCAAACCAACTTATAAAGGATCTAGTTAAGCATTCTCACAATAAAAACCTTTTGATTCTAACTTTGGATCTGTGCTACCTAGATTATAATTCATTTTCTCTATCTCGAAATACTATTCTGTATTTAGTTATATGCAGTGTTAACAATAAACTAACAATTACACAATTTGCCACGCAGTTGTACCCGACTCAAAGTATGTATTTCATTCCTTTACTATAACTAATTTATTCACTAACTTAATCTCAATCTTTTACGATAAGCTCATTGTGTTAGTCAATAAATCGAACCGTTTTCATCATTCGTTAAATTTTGGTGTAAAGTTACTGATGCTCATTTGAAGCTTTTGGATCATTTATCCGACCATATTTCAACCTATTTCATAAAGTGCTTAGCTATTTCCAGTGCCATTTGTCTACATTACTAGATAATTTTTGTACCAATGCTGGACGTCGCCGGTCTTCTCCGTAAAAACGGAAAAAAAAATTAAATTGCCTTATTTCCATTAATTTTTGTTTGTTTTTTCAATTGTCTCAATGCTTCTCGACATTTCTGTCGTCGCTCATCCAACTCGATCATCGTCCTCTTGCCTATGATAACACCTTGTCCTAAATTTTCCCATTCGGTCATATTATCAAGCATCTTTTTTGTCGTATCATCTAGTGAGAGATTTTCCAACATTGCTTCCGCTGGTTCTTCCATTTCCTGAAAAAAAATGAGTGAAACCATATATTCATCTTTTTCACCAAGCAATTTTATCATACAAATAAGCTTTCGAATATGGACCATAGTCAGTATATAATCTTAATTCCCGAACAGTTTTACTGTCAAGTAAATTTATCTAACGAGCACTCTTTCTTGCTAAGTAATATTAATTTGCAAATAACTTCATCCTACCTGCTAACGACAGCGACAACCTCTACATCGAGGGTGTTTTCTCTTATGGACACATTTTGCGGTTCGGCCTACAGCCATTTCACCTGTAGCTGCTTCAAGAGAATCTAATCAGGCTGAATTTCATCCGGAGGTATTAAATGTTTAATACAACTTCTATACACTAAAAGAATTAATGTAACTTCATTCTTTGATTTGTTTTCAAGTAAAAAAGAAAGACTTCATAAGATTTATAATAATTTGCAAAGTTAATAAAGTTTTATTTGATTCTTACCTACCCATTCGAGAAGGCATTTCCTTTCTGAGTAAATATCGAATTTTACAGATTTTAAATTTTAAAGCTATCCGTTTATAGCTTTCCGTTTACAGATTTTAAATTTTAAAGCTATCCGTTTATAGCTTTCCGTTTACAGATTTTAAATTTTAAAGCTATCCGTTTATAATTTTAAAGTAAAAGGGAATGGGAATGGGGGAAGATTTTGAGGAATATTTTAATTTCAAATAACACGATATTTCAAAAAATAACGCTAGCTGAAGTCGTAAAAACTTCTCATGTGCTGAGAGGTTTTCCCGGCTTCAATTCAATTGGAAGACCGAAAAATATCACTATATTTGAGATATCTGCTGGTCATATATACTTCAGCATCTTACATGAGCGTAAAAGCACAATAAAACGTACAATTCGATACAGACAACATCATCTGATCACTGAGCCAGCACTGCATCCAGTTGTGGATGCTTCTCCGGATATGTACACAATTTCGTTGGGGGATGTAACCTTTCTTTCGGAGAATGATATACAACTGAATGGAATCCGAGATTCAAGTCAACATCGACAACGTGACAATAAATCAAGAAGTATATAATCAAAAAGTGCCAAAGACTGGAAGCAACCAGGCGATCTGTGAAAATGCCTTGACAATAGCAATTCAACAACAAAGTTTGACAGCATTGAAATTTATTCATGAGATTATCAGTCAATACGTTTTATCAAGGTTGACTATATATTTGATGAGTTTTTTGTGCTGCTAGAAAACTGTACCATATACATCATTTGTGAAGAAATAAAAACACATTTTATACATATTAACAATGTACATCATTTGTGAAGAAATAAACACATTCTATACATATTAACAAAATCTTTGTTAATGAATAAGGCACTTCGTACAATTTTTACCCATACGACGGGCTAATGTGGAAAAAAAACCTTAAATTATGAATGGAACGCTGAATGAAACAATCTCGGAAATAAAAAGTAAGACTTTAAAAGTTATCATTTAAATACATAAATAATATATATGTGCATTTCCTCGAAAGTACGGCTTACACGGAAAATAGGCCTAGATGTGAATTTTCAAGATCGTCGTCATATAAGTCCTATTCTAAAAATAATTCCCAGTTAAGTTTATTAATCAAATGAACGTTATTGCAACCTTGAAAACATTAAATTACCATTAATATGTAATTAAATATGGATAATTAATATTATTGACATTACAGTTTTCTTTTACAAATGAATAAATACTTAATTTTTTAGATGAAAATTAAAACAATCCGAAAATAATACGTCTCTGGGAGCAAAAATTAGTATCTGTGTTATCTTCCAATGAATACAGTAAAATTATGAACGGGAAAAAAGTCTTATGTTTAAACAGATACTCTGATGAGTAATGCAAATTGTTTGGGCAATTTTCCAACAAAATAAATTTATATATGTTAATTGCTATATAATTAGTAGCGCTAATTTGCCTGAAGTTATCAAGCATTTCACAAGGTTCTAAGGTTTAAGCGCATATTGAGAGGTATGTGATCAAGCTTCAATAGTTCATGGACATTCAATTGCTACGTGAACTCATTTACTAAGGACCAATGATTGGAAGTTGGAGTCTGAAATGATTAACTTCTTCCAGCATGAAACCATCCTAATACAAAGATCCGAACACTTTTTCATATCGGATAGCCGTCAAAATTAGTTTCCGAGAAAGGTGGAGAGATGGTGTGGAGGTGTAGTGGTTTTGAGTCTAAATTAAAGTTATTTAAAATATAGAATATTTTTAAGATGAGTCGAACTTAACGGAAGCAAGTTGGAAAAGGAAGTGGTGGTACGATGATTGATTCGGAAAATGAGGAGTTGGTCGAAATCCATTCCAGTGCAGATACTATTGGTTATGAGAATGATCGACCAGGATCTTCCATGTCGACCACCACTTCGTCAACACTTTGTCAGAGTTTGGGGAGTTTCGATAGTAATAATATCGTTGAAATGGAGGATACTGTTCCGTCTATTATTGATGTATGTCTCGTTTCTAAAAATTGTGTGCTAAACTTTTAAATTTTCATCACCTTTATTTCTTTCTTTTATTTGGAACTTTTCATTTGTGATTATATAATTTCATAACTTTATTTAGCAATTGCGTAATCCCATGTTGGACCTGATGTGTGCTAACATAGCAGAAATTCAACAAATTAAGTAAATTCGAATCATTTTTACAGTTTGCAAGTCAATCAAGACTGATGGCTAGAATACGCGATAATAAACCGAACCGGAAACTTCCATCTCGTTGGGATGATGACGATGATGATGGCATCTTGGACAAGGATATGAACGATCCAAAGGAGCAAGTGCTGACGGCAGCTGAAGATGGTAATTTGGAATTGCTCAAGGATTTGATCGGCAATAATCCGTCGTTGCTGTCGGTTCGAATTTTGCCTTGGTTATGTAAAAAAAATGCATTTGTTATGGTGACAAAAAAAATATGTAAATAAATAAATTGCTTTTTTCACCATAAAATTTTGACATTTATTGTAGTTCGATAGGGATTCTAATCATAATTTTTTTAATAGGCTCATGATGCCGATGGATATACGGCGTTGCATCGAGCTGCATACAGTGGACATACCGATATTGTCGGATACCTATTATCGATTGGAGCCAATCCGGAATGGAATACGAACGATGGTTGGACAGTGTTACATTGCGCAGCAACATGGTCGATGTGTGAAGTTGTGGCGTTGCTGCTTCGTCATGGCGTTAATGTTAACAGTCGGTCACATGGCAATCTTACACCATTGCATCTTGCAATCACGTCGAATCAGCCGGAGGATCGTGTCATTACAACAGTTCGCTATCTTCTCGAAGCACCAGGTTTTATTTTTTTATAATGTATGGATTGGTTTTGGGATTTTTCCTTAATGTTTGAAATAAAAAGATTTCATTATTTATTCTTAACCCTTGAAGTTGATATGCGTACAAACATATACGTATGCCTTGTACTCATAGGCGTATAGAGAGAAAAGAAATGTGTTCGTATTAAAGCGACGACATCAGTATGATATTATTAGCTAGCAGTGAAATAATTTATAAGAAAGAGAGAAATAATTTAGTTAAAGATCTTACACATCAATTTCATACTATGATTCTTGGGTTGTAGAATATTGGAAGGATTTTTTGCATTTTGAAAACGACAAGTGAAATATGATATGATATTACAATGTACACTTTAGGTGCATTATAAGAAAACAGACAGAAGATATTCAGAAAACAAGTGTCTGCATTTATTGTGGCATTAACACTCAGACGAAGAACAATGTTAGAGCATTCTACTTATCAGCGTTGTTAAAGCGAATCATATTAAATTAAGTCTGTTTATTTAATTAAATAGTACATTAATTTTAACTTATATAACAAAATGATTGTTTCAGGTATTGATGCTGCAGCGGTATCGAATTGTGGTGATTCACCTTTACTCGTCGCAGGAAGGACATCGGCGAAAATTACTGAAATGCTGATACGTTATTTCAGCAAACCTTAAAAATTAAATTTTGCATCTGACGAGTTGATTGATATCGCACAAGAAAAGGAAGGCACTTATTTAGGTTGAAAAAGGTATCATATCTTATTATCATTTCATTGTATTATAGGACTTTCAAATATTCTCATCATACTATTTTATTTGAGCTTCAACTTCGATCCAACAATATTGAATTGGTTATGATAAAAGTAAATGCTTGAAGAAATGGAATCTTTTGACTCTTTCGAAATACTAAATCCTTTGTGGACCTACAACTAACGTTATACTATATTTATTGTCCAATAGTTTGACTATTCTTGTCTTTTGTAAATCAGGATTGCAAAACGCTAGAAATGGAGTAAGGATATATATTTGGTAGATCATTAATAATCATGAGAAGATAAAATAATTTAGTAACCTGGTGTTGTTACCCCAATGACTGTTGCAAGTATGGGTTAACTCTTTGAAAGTATTTGACCATTGAAAATTCTGCAAATAGATCTGATATGATGCATTTTCTGATGATGATGATGCAATAGTTTTCCAAATATGATTTACAATGTTGTCATGCTATCGTTTTAATTTATTAGATGATTTTGCCGTCGATAGGGCTTATCTGTACACAAAAAATATCATGTACGATAAAAGTGGCAAATATTTTGTGCTATATGTTTTTTGCCTCGAAAGGGAAAAAAGTGGGAATTTTCCATCTTATTATATAATTTTATTTGTTAAATATCCATATTTTAGATTTTTTCTGTTTGTAATTATTTGACTGTAATCTAAATCAATTGTAGTGAGATCAAACTATTTCGATACTATTTCCTTAATTGTTTATTTGACCCATCGTTCAGCTCTCGTGCTTTTTTGTTCACACTCTATTTAGCTATTATTATTAAGAATGAATCATACCGAAGAGTTACGGCGTTGATCTACATCACATGAAGTTATTGTACTTCACACATTAAATGAAGATAGAGTCATTCAGCAGTAATGACATAGAAAGAAAATACATTCATACATAAATTGATCATAATTTTTTGTATATCTTGCTCAATTGTTAATTATTATTGCATATGCAATTTTACAAATATTTTGTGCTTTATGTTTCTTTTATCCAAAAGGAAAAAAAATGGAAATATATATCCATTTTTTCTTCTATTTTAATTTTGATACATATTATATAAGCCAAGTAGACACTTTATTTTACTGTTTTGTTTTTCTAGTGTTCTGTTACCTGTTTTGTTTTCTTGTTCAGTTGAAAATAAAGCTTTCTTTGGATGAGTCAATAATATAGTGTATTTATAAATGCTGTTATTACAATGATATCACGGGTATTTGACGCTTTTAGAACATGGTGGATGGAGATATCATTGTTCTTTGGCCTGTCATTAACAATTAATGCAATTTATTAAATTGAAACGGAGTTTTATAACCAAAAAGCCTTGGATTCTTCAGTTCTGGGGTTCTTGACCGAGGTAGGACGTGATAAGGAGAGACTGATGTGGCAATCTGAGATAACTTTCTTAAATCATTCTTAAATCATTTAGCCAGGAATGCAGATCTCATTTATGTGAATTATTTGTCGATTGTCAAATCCGTGGATGGTGGTTACGTGCACAGGTGAACTAGTCTCATTTAAAGTTTGCTTTGTTTCTAATATGATATTTAGTACTTGTATTGTTTGAAATAGTTTTCGAATGTACTCTTCATTTGCTGTTAATCTGCAAAGATTTCCATCTTATATTGTGAAGCTTTGATGAATTTCTTTGTTTTATGGATGAAGAGAGTATGCCTTATGGTAAGAAGCATTAAAGGGAAAACCGAACTGAGAAGTGATTTGGACGTTGGAATTGCATTATTCATCGTTTTATACCATGTATTAACTGATGAAGTTTAGGTTTTCGGTTATGGTACTTGACAATATCCGCAGTCAATGCAGACTGCCTATTGTTCATTCCAACTAACTGTGTAATGAAAATTTATGCATAAAGCAAGTTAATAGTCTTTATTGGAGATTTAAAACATTGAAGAGAATGAACGAGCGATTAAGAGTAAAAACTTGGAACATTTCGGATAGCTGACAATTTTCTGTGAAAGGTAGAGAGAAATAGTTAGGATTCGGGAAATCGAAGTATAATTTGATCTTTTTAGTTTTGATGAGAACGGTTGGAAAATGAAGTAAACATTTGGTTAGCTAAGTTTTAATTTTTCTTCAATGAAATCTTGACTTCTTTTTTGCTTAGTTCTTAACTAATATGTAGGAAAACAAGCATGATAATCTTGCGGAGGAACTGAGGACGTAAGTTTTTCCAGATAACGTACCTTGCTTCAATTCCTTAAATGGCAGTAGTTCATGTGGAGATTGTAGCACTTTATCTTTGTTCTTTTAGCTTGAGTGATGCATTCTCCGGTCCTAGAGTGATTTTTCAATTCTAGTTTTTTTTCGAAAGATATAAATCAATCATCCAATATTTACAGATTCTCAGGAAATCGAATTTTCAAGACAACATGCGTCTAAAGACATGGAGAGCGTATGAATGGGCCAATATTGGTGGTGTTGTATGTACACTATTGTTAATCTTTGGCATTTACTTCCTGATATTGTTCTATACTTGCCCAGCAATCTATCAGCCTGATCAGTGCGCTCGGGCGAATCATTTCGGTGTCGTTATCATTTTGGAATTGCTCGTCAATTTTCTATTATTTATCATCTATAGCAGGTATTTATTAGTCAGTATCAAATTTTTGAATTGAGTTTAAGCATCAATATTGATGGAACTTATTATAGAATTGTATAGCTGTTATTCAAAGGTTTATATGGTGGATAGTCTTGCACAGGGATTCTCGCTCATCGAATTGAAGCTGATGATATTGATCGTCGAATTGGTTGACAGAGTTATGTAATAAACAAATATGTAAAATTAAAATGATTTTTTTTTTATCTAATAATGTAATTAGATTTTATAAGTGTAATCTTTTTTTAGGCATAACGATCCACAACGTTGGCTCCAAAGTGTTGCAGTTTTGACAACCGTAAAAAGTGCTGGCAAATATTGTTTAGAATGTAATCGAATAGCACCACTGAGGAGTCATCATTGTAGGCTATGTAATATGTGCGTTTTGAGGAAAGATCATCATTGCTTTGTGACGGGTGCTTGTGTCGGAATTGCTAATCAGGTTAGCTAATGGAAAAGAAATTTTGGGGATATTTAAGAGTGAAAGATGCTAAAGTTTAAGAAATATAAAGCAGTGTTGCTCATTTTATTTATCACTTAAGTAAGCTTATTTAGCTCTTGTTGCACATAACATACGAAAATTGTTATAATCAAAATACAATCTGCTCAATCACCGAATTGGAATGCATTAATTGAATAAATTTGTAAAACTCATGCAGAGCGACATGTAAGTCAAGTACTACCATTGCAGATGAATTTTATCGTCACTGATCATTATTACCACTGTTATCATCAACACCATTACAAATTACGCGTTTTATTTTGTACTTGGTTTGTTTTCCAATTTTGGTTTGACCTTCGTTATTTTTCCAACTTTTTCACTAAAATGCGAATTATTTCAGCGTTTTTTCATTGTATTTGTCCTGTGGGCAAGCATTGGTGCTGCTGTAGGATCGTTTTATATTCTGATGTATTTGCTGCGATATATGGAATCTAATATTTACCCATTTGGTTGGTTAAAGCTTCTAGCACCAGTTGCTGTCATTCGATGGATTATTTCCTATGAAATATTTACCAATACAGCTATTTGCGTTCTATTCAGTATATGTACAGCCACCTCGGTTGTTGCTATTATATTTTTTGGTTTACAGGTGAGAATTCAGTTTTCCGACTCAATATCTTGACTTCAATTCCCCTTTCACTCTTCAGCTTATTTTCCGATACGTGCTTGTTCTTTGGCATATTCTGGAATAAAGCTAGATTTTTTTAAATTTTGTATCAGTGTTATCAAGATCCTTTTTACCTGAACTGATTCAAATTTTACTTCTAAGAAATTTAGTAAATGTTAACAATTTTGCATGATTTTAGATGTTTTATACATTAAATGGTTATACGATGTATGATTACCACACAGTAAGCAGAAAGATTGAGTTACGTAGTGATGGCGAAACTTATTCAGAAAGGTATAGAATTAACAAAAATAGTTTTTGTTATCGTTTTTTCTTTTGTTCTTTATGCTCCTTCAATCTATCTGTTTTTCCCTTCATTTTATAGTAACCTGTTCCCGGAATTGTACTATATAGTAGTCAACTAAATGCAACAATTCCGTTATTAATCCGTTCAAAGCTTCTCAAAGCTTTGACCATTCTATTTAAAAGGCAGAATCGGTAGCTATTGCTTTACCGTTGTTTTCTGCTCTTTATATTTCGAGATAGTCCATACAACTTGTGGTTGATCTTTAAATCTCGACAGAGCTTGTGATTGACCTTTAAACCTCGACATTCACATAATAGCATCAGATTGTCTAGATGAAATGCGACAGATGTGATCAGTGTCGAATACTCGGCGTTCTCCGTTATTTTAGAATGTTCCAAAGTGTTCCAGATGATTTCCCGTACTATGTCTTATGGAAATGTTTTCGGCACTATGCTGCGCGAGAAAAATTCAGTTTGTAATGATGGAGAAAGAGAATGAATGAAGTTTTGTGTCAGAATTTGAGTCCTGCAAAGAATATTTGAACGAGTCTCAAAATCTCATTCAAGGAATTGATAAAGAAAAACGAAAGGACTATGAATGTTTCTGCTGTAAATACTTCTCTTTCCAGGTTGAGAATGATATTTGGTCATTATTGGGCAATAAATTTCATTATCCCACTACTTTGTTTTCCGAATCAGCTGACCGCAGATGTTGCTCGGAATTTATTTTCATCTTATTCGAAAGATATGTAATAAGTCTCCGATTTCTATTTATGACTACAATGTGCATTCATAAATGTGCCCTTCACCTACGACTATCCGGTTTACTAAATGTTAGCTTCTCAATTTATTTAGTACTGTTGTAAATTGCCTTATTATTAAGGAATTCCAAAACTGTTATAATTCGTCTTGCCACCGGGCTGTAGTTTATTTGTTTCATCCTTTATGACTCTACCTAGAATTTTTAATTTTTTTTGATTTATCTCGCAAAATATTAGCACTCTTCTGTTATGGATAAATAATATATTTTTATAACTTAATACTTTAGGAAGTTTTGAAAATGTAGATCTGATCATCCGTAATAGTTTAGAAAAATATTTTTAAAATGTTAGTGAATATACTTAAAAAATTGTACAATAAGCAAATGAGTTTATTTTTGGAAAATCCCCATATCTGTCCCTCCAATGAAGAGAAAATCAATTGTAGCCATTCTTAAAAAAGAACCGCAAAAATATTCGCTTCAGATTCGGCTTAGTCTTGACACATAAGACCAACTACCGATGCAGTCAGTAATTACAGCATTTAATCCATGGTGTCTACTAATTTACTTGATGAGGCAACAATTCAGACAATTTCTTTCGTACTTGGTGATTTTATTATATACGATGTCTTCTGTTTTTGTTGAATCGATTATGTACTATTTGTCAGTTTGTCTTTATGTTTATAACTTTTGTAAATTAGTTTTACCAAACGATTAACAATTTTACATTATGTTTATAGCTTATTTTACAATCGAATTTGAAATTTGTGATTTTTTGAAATTTGAAATTTGCCAGTTGAATCGAATTTGTCAATTCATTATAATGCATAGGACCTGTTTACGTAACAGTCAATTTGTCATACTGTTTAATTCTTTCAAAGGATCTCCAATTTACCGTTTTGGTGATAATGTTAATATTCATAGAAAAAATAATTAGTAGGAATTCTCAACATCAGCCTTCCTTGCTTTTAAAGTTCATGTGAGCTCTTTTTCCTGCGATTAAATGACTTTTCCTAATAATGACTTTGGACCACTCCTTCATTGGTAAAAAGAAAAAACAATTGTGTCGAGGGGAACAAACTGTGTTAAGTATAAAAACTGTGATAAATATGGAATTTATATATCACAATCTTCGCATACATTGCATGAGGAAAATTTTCATAGTGATTTGAGATACTTCGCTAAGGTTTCCACGTCGTGTCTTCCATCGGTGCGCAAATATTTCTGAGAAATACTGACTGTTAAGGTGGAAGACGCATATGTCGAGTACTATTTTATAAACACAATTTGAGATGATAGTGAGTTTCGTTTCAATTGTTTTTAAAAGGTTAAAATAGAGTTTATCGTTGTTTTCTGCTTTTTATGGTTACTAATCGCCAGCGTTTTCGAGATAGCCCATAAAGCTATTAATGAGTTCTGATAAATGCATAAATTGTTCCGCAGGAAGTCAACAATTATTTTATTATTGCTTTTATCAAGTTTCACATGTGAAAAAAGAAATGGCGGAAAGCGAAAAAGTGGAATGGATTGATCATGAGCACAAGAACATGCATGTGCCATGCATGGTCCATTGGAGGCTGTAATCTGTTACATAAAGTTTTGCATTAGATATATTGTGAGATGCACAAATGAACCATTGGATAATACCGTTCAGGACATTACACTTCAAAGATTGTGTTGTTACTCTAATGAGTTTTTCTCTTGTCGTCTATCGTCTCTTCAATAAGTGTTCACTACGTCTTATAATTGACCCTTGAACCTCGACATAGCAATCTACACAATATCACGATGTCGTCTAAATGGCATGATGACAGATGTGGCCAGTTTGGAATACTCTCCGTAGTCCGTTATTTTTGGAACGTTCTGACATCGAAAGGTGCCGGAACCATGACTACGTCATACAACTGGAACTTCAGGTAGAATAGTTAATAATTATGTTCGAACATCCGATCAATTAATCTCGGGTTTGTCAATGCTTGTACTCGCGCACTAACTGTTACGAAAATTTGAAGTTCTGAGAACTTATGCACATTTGGAAGTAAATTCTGGGAGTTTTGGATTCAGAAATTCCTGGTAAACAAATAATTAAGAGAAGGCTTATTAAGTGATGTGATTCGGTTGTTTATACACCTGCGTGAGAAAGAAACCAATGAGAAGATGAAAGAATCTAACCTGTGAAGAGGTAACAAAAAATTACTTGTACTGCAAAATCTGCGCAAAAGATCATAGAAAACTTCGTGAAATTTTGCGAAATTGGTAAAATTGATCTCACGAAAAATATGGGTAAACTAACTTGTTCTACAAGAAAATTTTCCAAACTCATCAAATCCTGAAATCGGCATACCCTTGACAAGATATCTAGGCACATTAAAATTCCATCTCATGCTCATGCTCTCATGCTTCAAGAAGCGCTTGACCAATTTCCTATGATATGATGCAGCCAATGCGTACAACTTTCTGGAATATGAAAAGCAACTTTGAAGCATTTGTGGCCTTTTACCTGAACAGAATAATGTCTGACTTCATCCGTAAAAGATTACAATATGATCTTTGACTCAAGGAATCTCGGTTACTTTATTACCACTTTTTCGGTTACCCGTCACACTGGTTACGAAAAAAACTTCAACACACACGTCTGTCGCTGACTGGATACTCAAACTTGTTTGGTAGTCCAACATGGCACCCTTCAACAGCGATTTAATATTGGATATGTGGTTATTAAATTATTTACCACGTACTTTAAAATAAATGGGAACATCGCCCGGTTTTAATGAAAGAGCAATGGCAATAACTCCGCATATGCACTCACCACTTCATTGCAATTTTGTGTCGCTCAAAACTATGTTCGGTATCCTGAAAAATCTTTTTCAGGATACCGAACACAATTCGACACTTCAAAAACCTTTTCATATTTGGATCGTTAAATTCTCAATAGCAATGCAACAGGCGTTCTTAGTCTTCAATTTTATAAATTCTTAATTTCTTGATGAGAAACCACGGTCACATGTATATATATCCAGTGCTTACTACATAAAATTCAGTGACAGTCTCGACACACTGTAATCTTGCCCCAAAATACCAATCAATGATATTAAACAAGGTCACTATATTTAATTCCACAAAAATAACTTAAGACTTAGTGTGGAAATTCCGCAAAACCTTTCTGAGTAAGCAAATGTCTAAATATTTTCTCTTTACCCCTAGTTTTTATCTCTAAATAAAGCTCTAAATAAGTTTTACCTCTAAATGAATACCTCTGTCAACAGTGGAACAATGATTAACATCAAGAAAAGTAAACATTGCGGAAAGATACAGCGACCTTTAATGTATCTTTAATGGTTATGTATAGCCATAAGATTTTAAAATCTTATTATTTTCAAACAATGAATTTCAAATAATTTACTCTATTACAAACCGAGAAATCATATAT